GTAGGCTTAAATTCTTTGCTAACTTTATTAAAGTCTGATAGGCTTAAAAAATTAGATTAATTTAATTGATGTATTGTAATATGTAAATTGTGCTGTGAGGATATAATAGGAAAAGTGAAAGGATAAGGGCTCACTTGTAGTATTTGGAGGGGTCCGGATTAGGCCTTTTTTGTCAACGTTTCGACCTCAAAGGGTCTTCTTCAGGACGACGAAGAGGATTGCTTCACATGGTGGTTTGTGGGTAAATGGGGAAAAAAAGAAGGAAAAGAATGAAAAAGTAAAAAAGTATTGTAAGATAGGAGGAAACAACCGTTAAGCGCGTAACGGTTTAGGCTCAGGTACCTCGGGGTCGCCCAGACGCCCGTCGGCAATGCAAACCGCCTTGAGGGTGAAAGAGAAGACTTAAAATTATTTTGGAAGAAAGGAAAAATTAACATTTAAGCCAGGGGGCTTATTAGATTTGAACAGGAAAATAATCTTATTTTCTAAATTTAATCTACTGTTTTCATCGACCGGGGCGTGTAATAATGCAGTAATTTGGATATCATTAGTATTATGGTTTAAAACGAAATGATCAGAGACAGTAGTGTGAGAATCATTACGAATAGATAATAAATGTTCACGAAATCGATCCGAAAGTTTACGACTAGTTTGGCCAATATAAATAGTGTCTGTACATTTTTTGCACGTAATGGCGTAAATTAAGCACGAGCTAACACATGAAAAAGTCGTGTTGATTTTAAAACTGAAATTATTACATTTTAAGATGGGTTGTTGAGTTACAAAGTTACAAGTTTTGCAGCGAGGTCTGAGACAGGGGAAGGTACCAAACTTGGATACCGCATTGGAAGTGGGGTCAGCAATTGGTTTTAATTGAGTTCGGACTAAAAGTTGTTTCAAATTTGGGGCACGGCGATAGCCATACACTGGTTTGTCGAGAAAAGTGGTATTTTTTTTGAGAATTGATTTAAATAAAAATTTAGTTTTATTAATGACGGGATTTACTAAAGGAGAATAACCAACTACAAGGGGCAAAACATTATTTTGGGATTTAACCTTTTGGACAAGTAAAGAAATTCTAGAGATTTCTTTGACTTTACTAAGGGCCTTAAGTAAAAGATTATGTGGATAACCGCGTTTTTGAAAAAAGTGGCACATGGTGGCACTTTGGGAGATAAAATCATCATGATCACTACAAATGCGCTTAAGGCGTAAAAATTCGGAATATGGGATGCTATCAAGCATATGTTTTGGGTGGCAAGAGTCGTATGGAAGGTAAGAATGGGAATCGGTAGGCTTGTAGTAAATTGTGGTACGAAAATGGTCATTGAGAAAAGAAACTTCGACATCAAGAAAAGGCACCGAATTAACGGGATATGGCATTCAAAAAAATGTCAATATTTTCACGAGAGTCAAGGAACAACATAAAAATATCGTCTATAAAGCGTTTATATAGACGGGGTAAGGGGCCAGTATAACTATAAAAAATAATTTTTCTTGGTAAGCAAGAAAGGAACACGCGTAGCTTGGACCGGCTCGAGTACCCATTGCAACACCGGAAATTTGGGAATAAAACTCGGAATTAAAATGGAAGATAGGATGACAGTATATAGCTGATTGACATCGGAAGTGACGAGGAAGATAGGGTTATTAGATGGACTAGTCAAAACAAAATCATTCAGGCAAATTAAAAAATCTGTTGTGTCTTTTAGATAAGAAGGGGTTACGGATACTAAAGGCTGTAGGACTGAGTCGACAAAAGCTGAGATAAGGGATGTGGGACACGAAACTGTGGAAACAATTGGACGACCAGGGTTATCCGGTTTGTGAATTTTAGGTTGTAGATAGAATTGAGAACATCTAGATTTCTCAATTAAACGCTGGGCAAAAACTGGGAGATCACCACTACCAATGAAATTGTTAATCGTTGTGGAGACTAATTTTTGGTAAGAAGGGGTAGGATCATGGTCTAGTTTCAGATAAAATTGAGGGTTATTCAGTTGCGAGAGTGCTTCTGAGACATAAAGGTCACATATCATATTTTTGTAACGTAAACAAGAGGAAAGAAATTTTATGTGAGAAGATAATCGACATTTCTTGAGAAGGAAATTAAAATAGACTTTGGCTAAATTAATGATAGAATGTGGGTAACAATTAATTGAGAGACAGAATTGTCTAAAAATGGAGGACGAGTTGGCCATTGTTCGCAAATTTTGGAAAAAAGGATGCACAGACAAGGGGATATATAATATGTAAATTGTGCTGTGAGGATATAATAGGAAAAGTGAAAGGATAAGGGCTCACTTGTAGTATTTGGAGGGATCCGGATTAGGCCTTTTTTGTCAACGTTTCGACCTCAAAGGGTCTTCTTCAGGACGACGAAGAGGATTGCTTCACATGGTGGTTTGTGGGTAAATGGGGAAAAAAAGAAGGAAAAGAATGAAAAAGTAAAAAAGTATTGTAAGATAGGAGGAAACAACCGTTAAGCGCGTAACGGTTGTTTCCTCCTATGAACTTGTTCTTACCCTTAATGCCTTCCATTTTAATTCCGAGTTTTATTCCCAAATTTCCGGTGTTGCAATGGGTACTCGAGCCGGTCCAAGCTACGCGTGTTCCTTTCTTGCTTACCAAGAAAAATTATTTTTTATAGTTATACTGGCCCCTTACCCCGTCTATATAAACGCTTTATAGACGATATTTTTATGTTGTTCCTTGACTCTCGTGAAAATATTGACATTTTTTTGAATGCCATATCCCGTTAATTCGGTGCCTTTTCTTGATGTCGAAGTTTCTTTTCTCAATGACCATTTTCGTACCACAATTTACTACAAGCCTACCGATTCCCATTCTTACCTTCCATACGACTCTTGCCACCCAAAACATATGCTTGATAGCATCCCATATTCCCAATTTTTACGCCTTAAGCGCATTTGTAGTGATCATGATGATTTTATCTCCCAAAGTGCCACCATGTGCCACTTTTTTCAAAAACGCGGTTATCCACATAATCTTTTACTTAAGGCCCTTAGTAAAGTCAAAGAAATCTCTAGAATTTCTTTACTTGTCCAAAAGGTTAAATCCCAAAATAATGTTTTGCCCCTTGTAGTTGGTTATTCTCCTTTAGTAAATCCCGTCATTAATAAAACTAAATTTTTATTTAAATCAATTCTCAAAAAAAATACCACTTTTCTCGACAAACCAGTGTATGGCTATCGCCGTGCCCCAAATTTGAAACAACTTTTAGTCCGAACTCAATTAAAACCAATTGCTGACCCCACTTCCAATGCGGTATCCAAGTTTGGTACCTTCCCCTGTCTCAGACCTCGCTGCAAAACTTGTAACTTTGTAACTCAACAACCCATCTTAAAATGTAATAATTTCAGTTTTAAAATCAACACGACTTTTTCATGTGTTAGCTCGTGCTTAATTTACGCCATTACGTGCAAAAAATGTACAGACACTATTTATATTGGCCAAACTAGTCGTAAACTTTCGGATCGATTTCGTGAACATTTATTATCTATTCGTAATGATTCTCACACTACTGTCTCTGATCATTTCGTTTTAAACCATAATACTAATGATATCCAAATTACTGCATTATTACACGCCCCGGTCGATGAAAACAGTAGATTAAATTTAGAAAATAAGATTATTTTCCTGTTCAAATCTAATAAGCCCCCTGGCTTAAATGTTAATTTTTCCTTTCTTCCAAAATAATTTTAAGTCTTCTCTTTCACCCTCAAGGCGGTTTGCATTGCCGACGGGCGTCTGGGCGACCCCGAGGTACCTGAGCCTAAACCGTTACGCGCTTAACGGTTGTTTCCTCCTATCTTACAATACTTTTTTACTTTTTCATTCTTTTCCTTCTTTTTTTCCCCATTTACCCACAAACCACCATGTGAAGCAATCCTCTTCGTCGTCCTGAAGAAGACCCTTTGAGGTCGAAACGTTGACAAAAAAGGCCTAATCCGGACCCCTCCAAATACTACAAGTGAGCCCTTATCCTTTCACTTTTCCTATTAATTGATGTATTGGATAATCTCACGAATCTATAAAGCGATCCTTGTACTGCAAGAGAATGGTAACTTGAGAATATGAGCTGATTTCTAGTAGAATTTCGGTTTTAAAAACAACTCTGTCCTTCGTGCTGGAGGACGTGCTCTATTTGACGTGAGTGGAGCATGTTCCAGCGGTGACAGATTGTATCAGATCTGGTCATATCATACGGACGACGCGAGTGATATCGTAAATCTATTTTGGTTCTGTTTGTGTGATAAGTTAAGTTCACGACGTATTATTTTGTGGCGAATCGCCATGAATTTCTAGAACAAGCATTTGCATATTGAATGAGGCAGGAGTTGTGTTCCTTGTGCGTGGAGTGCTATGGGAGCGTAAACCTCATTCTCGTACATATACATCTACGATACGATACATAATATGCAGTCCTCTGCTGCTGCATGGACGACGAAACAAGCTTGGAAACAAGAACTTAAAGCGCAAGGAACTCAAAAGTTGCAATGTGCCACATGTATTATGGAATGGCATAGGTTTGCCATTTTACTTTGCAACCAACCGGCCTCTGGACTACCAATGCTACGCCGTGTGTAGCATTGAATTGCAAATCTCCTCTACGAGCAAACCGATCTATTCATCAATTTTTTGCTGGTTCGATTTCCACTGTTTTCCACTCAAGCCAAATAACCAGCTCTCCACCAACGCTGACTTGACTACATGGGAAGGTAACTCAAGTTAACAAAAAGGCAAACTAGTGTTTCTCCATTCCACATTACATATTTAATCACAAGTCGGCTAGAATGGGTGCATACGTAACTAGAATTCTGCTATACGTGATAGTTGTTCACACTGTCGTTGTAGTATTGCTGGTTGTTGTTGCTTATCCACAATTCAACCCTTTATGACCAATCCTGTCCAGCCAGTCAGTTCAGTTTACATTCTCATGCGAGAAGGAACTGCAGAACCAAGCAACCAAGGTAGAGACCAACCAAATCACTTAATTCCTTTGTTTTGCTGGAAAGAAACTCGACTCGAAAGCAGTTGTTGTGTTTTTGGCTCGCCCATCATTACATGCATACGTACAACACATAATCTTACTGCAGCTTAATTGGTTACGTAAAGAGACCAAGTTGAGGAGAAGGAGAAGAAGTTGTAACAAGTATTTACATACATATGTACATACATACACTGCATTTAATAACGTGATCAACAGTCTGCATGCCCATTACAAAATTCACACACATCTTGGCTTTTTGCCTCCTGGACACCAAGTACTTTTGTGGTGTATGCATTTTTTAAAATCTAAAAGTGAGCTTGCAATGTAACAGTGACACGTGACAGAAAGAAGGAGAAAAACCTGTTATTAGTTATCGCAGTGTTTGTGCTAAAATTTGAGAAAAGAGTTAAATTCATATAAAAATATTTGAACATTTTACTCAAACCGTAAAAAACACACGAAGACAACACGAGGAAACCGAATTGAGGTTGCAGTGTCGTGTTGCTCCGGCAGAATTTAGGTCTTCTTAATAACAAGTAATTGGTTATTGATGGCACTTTAGTTGAGCTTTAATTGGATGATAAATCCTCTGAAATTCATGGACCAAGATCTGCTCAACATTAGACGGCGCAGTTCTACTAATAAATAGCGTACGTACAAGTACAATAACAATGATCAAATTGCAATTCAACAGTACACATCCCTGCTCCAGCGTGTACACACGCACTGTGTTGTGATCATCATAAAGGAACAACATAAACATTTATAAAAAAGCAAACTGCAAACTCCGTACATTCAAAAGCACGAGTAGGTATTAGTACATCTTCGTACTAATAGATAATCCTTCCTGTTCCAAATTTTGGCCTGAAATTAGTGCAGCGTCACAGTTTTGTATTTCCTCTTCCATCCATACAATTACCAATTGAATGCGTCGTGCGTCGTTTCTCTTTTAATTTCATCAATGCGTGAAAGTTAATAATAAAACGTGTTTAATGTGCATGTTTACATGTATTCAATTCTGCTTGTTAGGTTGTGACATTACATGGACCCAGCCCGCAGTTGATAAGATGATCTTTAACCCAGAAATTTTTAACTGGGTGATAAACTGAGCGAAATTGGAATAAACAAACAGACACATGTCTGCCTGACTAGATGCAAATATAAGCTTCCTCTTCTCCTAAGCCCACTATACCGCATCCCATAAAGGGAGAATCCCTGCGTTTTTGCAAAAAGTTCAAATAGTTCAAACCAGAGTTGAAAAATTGTGGGGCGATATATAACACTAAACGCCACGCCCGTCATCCCGAGAGGAAGCTTGCAACTTACTGTGCACATAAAAAAAGTCCAGGCGCAGTATCCACCCGTGAGTAAAAAAAATTCATATCATCTGCAATATTTTGTTTACGAGTTGATGGGTTCATGTAATTGACGCTGTCTGTCTGTCTTACTTCTCCGGCCCGAAACTTTTCATCTAAATGCGAATCAATATAATATTATGGTGAGAGAGTGAGTGAGTGAGAGCCTACTGGGCATTGTGACCCATCATGATTCTCTTATTTTTATTCGTTTTCACTCCCAAACTCCGTATCCACTAATGCGATTAGATATCAATTTAATCATGGGAATTGTGGTGTTTATAATTTGAGCAAGTCGGTTGTTTGTGGCGTTGTTTTCCGTTTTACGATTAATTTCTATTATCCAGAATCTCTGTATTGTAATTCTCGTCTGGCAATAACATGCTCTCGAAATTGATTGCATGAACAAAACTAATATGCTTTACTCGTAAGATTGAGTTTGTAAAGCGGAGCAACTGCTTGTGAAGTATTTGTAATGGAACAGAATCTGGTTCCTTGAAATGGTTTCAATGAATTAAACCACTTTTTCTTGGTGACAATGAGAGAATCATCTCATCGTTACGCTCAAATGAATTTACAGATTACTAATTAATTCCAGAGACAAGTCCAATTAGTGGAATAATGGAAATGGGATGAATTGCATTCTCAGTAATTTTGGGGCATATTTTGAGGATCAATTTAGTTTACTGAGCGATAAAGTTTGGCAAAATTATTATGACAATTTACAAATTGATGTATGTATGTACATAAATAATTTAAATAAACATAAATAAACATAAACATAACATAAATAATACTTGGAGAATGTAATTATTTTTAATAGTCAAAATAACAACTTTTTCGATCAGATCGGATTACGAAATATGTATTCCAAACTTTTCGGTGGAAATATAAGCCTCGTTAAAAACGTAATCCTAGCCAAAGATTATTTTATGTAGACACAATTTTTGTGACGGTATCATTTCCCTCATCAACGTGTTATCTATTAATACCTCTGAAAAGCGACATGCGCCGAGTTTTAGTGAAATTAATTTGGAGCAAGTGGTTATATGCAGACGATGAAGTTTGGAACAAGGTTTAATCAAACATTTGCTATGTTTAGCTGTTTTTAGGCCTCAAGACTGCAACATAATACGCCGTAATTGTTTTACTTTCCATATTCTAAACAATGGCCTGAGAAATTCAGCAAGTTTCCATTTTCGCTTCTAGTAAGTACGACATGAAATACTTAGTGTTATTTCATTTCTAATGAAATTTTGTTGCAGCAATATTACTGCTCAGGGCCTCTTTTCGAAACGGGCATATAATAAAATGAAATGAAATTACAAATGCACAATATACGATGTAATACTTCTCCAAACAAATGTCTGATTTGCTCACTAGTTTCTGCCCTCATCACTTGACGAGGGATACGACGGGCAGAGAGCTATAAAAAGCAGTTTCCCTAATTGCAGATATCATCATAGCTTTTTGTGGTTACTGCAAACAATCTGCAAGCTATTGGAATTGGTCATGTTTTTACAAGGACATCATCGTTGTCTACTTGAACATGAACCTGAAGAGAAATGAAAATTAAGCAAACTATGTAACTCTTGTTGTATTTCACGAGCGTGCAGCTATGATGATGTTCCTCCCAGGAGGTTCTGTGTAGTGCATATCTCGTGCTTACGTATTCGCATATATGTCTACCTGTGTATTAGCAATTTTCCTCGCGTGCACATTCTGGTTAACTGGGGTACCACACTGGAACCAATTCAATCTCATGTATGTCTATTACTCAGATAAAGTGCACTTTGTGCAATCAAATCAAATGAAAACAGAAAGAGGTTACGTACAAAGTTGGACTACTTGGACCACTATATTCCTCCTCAATCCATTAAAATAAAACAATCTGGTTAATTTTGTCACGACGTTATGATGAGGATTCGTTTTGGAGTGGGAGGTTTGCTAAATAACATGGCTTGTTTCATTTACTGACAAGGAGATTCAATTAAATGAACCACAAATGTTTACCGACTTCATAACTTGATGGATCTTGAGTGGTGTCTCGAACACGACACGTTATTTAGCTGTGTCACGTAGACAAAACCAGTAATTAACTGGATATATAAATGCAATCCCACTTGGATTTCCAGTTGACATGCAAAGTTTCTCTCAAGTTGCTGGAGCAATACTTTCCCTGAAAGTAACAGCCTTGGTTTGATGAACAATTTTAATGTCAGTTGAAGTGCTGGAGTCGGCTGCTGGCGTTTGAGTTTTATTTATTTGTATACTGCACAGAAAAGTCAAAAGTTATTTACTTCGTATAAAAGTAGAGGAAAAAATTTAGAACAATTGTGCAGCTCACGACTTTTGGTAGGCCAGAAAAGCAATTGTAAATATAAATACGTACTAATTTGTTTATGAGCATCAGGCAATAAATTGTGACATTTTGTCATTTTGTGGGACAGCCATTTTGCTGGTCATGATGATTGCATTATGTGAAATACAGTACTTGAGTTTGGAATAGTAGTGGTTTTGGAAATTATTTTTGATGGTATTCCATTCAATACTTTTGGAATGACACGTAATTTGCACATGCCCGTTCTAAATATGTAGAATGATCACAGGTTAATCATTTGTACCTACATACAAAAGTTTTACCTTTATTATTTATTTTTAAACATGCATCTTTAAATACAATTAGATGCATTTTTGATGGACTGGTATTCCGCAGCAGATACTTGAAGTTAACATTATGAGAATTGAACACGCATATATCTAGATATCCCATTTACCAATTTAACTCATTTTTTTGCAGTATAATTTGTGGTCAGATGGCTTCTAATGTATGTATCAGTTCCGTCGAATTTAGTTTTCAGTTGTTAGCACAGCTAAGATTCGCTTTGTACATTTCTGCGGTCTCTTTGACTTCCGCTACTCAAGGTAAAGCCAAAAGTAGCTTTAAATCTGCAAAATTTACTGAATCTAGCTCTCAGGATGAGAGAGTAGAACCATCAATTACTTAACATCATCTCGTCGCGTCGTCGTCACTATAGATTTTTCTATTCCCAAAAAGTATTTGTTTTTCAGTTTGACGTCTTCTAACTTATTCACTTTTATGGACCTCCTATGAAAATGTAATTATAATGAAATGAAATAAATACTCAAATACGATGCCAATTTACGTAGGGTTGCCATCCGATCGGATAGGATAGGATAGGATAAAAATAATTTTTATCCGATCGGATAAGTCCACTCTTCGGATAATCCGAGTCGGATAATTTCAGAAATATTATTCTATCCGATATCCGTCGGATATCCGACGGATAGGATAGGATAATCAAATTAATTAGCAAAACAAATACAAAAATTTCAAATAGTATCAACAATTGTCGGGTATTCAATTTACATAAGCTCTTAAAATTATGTCAAGTGCACTGAGCACAGACTGAACTACTAAGGGAGTTGCAGGAATTAGAAGTGATACATATGTATATATTTGACAAACGTCTTTCTATAAGTCTCCACTTTTCTTTATTAGTTTGAATAAGTATGATACGCAGTATGTAGTCAGTTCAATTTATCGTAATGTCAATATTCAAATTAATTACTTTAAAGCACCCGCAGAAATAGATTGATTCTCTAAACAATGGGACAATAACTTTATAAGTATATTACCACAAAGGGAACCGTTTTGTGTCTGGCATGGTAATAATTTTACATCTGCTAACTTTACTAAGATTTGTCTGGAATTACTAATATATATCCATGGATGAAAATGAAATACAATTGGAGATAGAATATTTACTTTACTCTCGCACATACAACGTGTCCAAATTACACTTAACTCGTCATTTTTAAATTATCCGATATCCGTCGGATATCCGACGGACAACATCAGATAATCCGAGTCGGATAATTTGAAAAAATTATCCTATCCGACGGATATCCGAATCGTATTTTTCCTTATCCTATCCGACATTATCCGATCCTATCCGATCGGATAGGATAATCTCGGATAAAAACGGCAACCCTAAATTTACGATAATCCGTGAATAAATTGCTATGTTGAATGTATCGAATTATTAGAACTTCAAGATTTTAGTAATATGCTCAAACTGATGAGGCGACTTTTAGAAGAACAAATTGTCAAACTTTTTCATAGTTCTGAATCTTTTGAGATACACTAACGAGTTCGTATATTTTAAAACTTTTGGTTTTAGAAACATCTCAATTAACGTTAATTGAAGGAAATATCTTGAAGAAGAACAGGTTACACACACATCTCGATTTTTTTTGCAATTTACTTGCTGTAGCACAGCGGATTATATTCAGTATCGACCGTGATGTGTGTGCCTTTATCTGCTTATTTCTTCCTTCCCATAGTTTGCAAGTTGAGGAACCTACCTGAATAAGTACTTTGTATACCAGGAAAATCACTCTGTTGGATAATAGTAATAACAAGAGTTGAAGAGCTCTCAAAGTCCTTGTGAGCTAACCGCAGTTGGAGCAGAATAAGTCGAATACCGTGAAAGCGAATGGAAGAAAAAGCTTTGAGTAATTCTCAGGAGTTGAATGTAAGCGTGCTCAGCAATAAAATTATGAAACCTTTTTTAAACCCAACGAAACATTTCCTTCGTACGTAACGAGAGAAAGTGTAGAATTTCTTGCCGCATTGTGCTCAATGTAAAGTATATTTGTTCTGGGATTGAATGTCAAATTAATATTTGAAAAATAATAGTCTTCGTAGGCTTAAGGTGCCTAATTCAACGGCAACGTTAAACTTTTTCAAGAAATGTTAAAGGAGATAAAACTCCAAACTTTGTGTAAATGGTTGGGTTGCAATGCTATCTGATGCTGTGATACTCGTTGACCTTTGATAAATGCGAAATTGCTTGAGTTTTGCATTATTACGCAAATATTTGACAAACTTTTGGCAAAAACAGTATTTACTGTAAATTTGATTAGCATCAGGGCAAGGGAAAATTTTAACCTTGTTTCTCCACCGGCTTAAAATTTCTGCAAATATGATTTTAGGGGAACAGCTTTTATGAAGTAATTTTGCTTAACCAAATAAATTTAATGGATGAAAGCATTTTTGTCTGCAATAAACGAGAGGGAACAAGACAATCAAGTAGCGTGACTTGACTTGCCGTCATTTACGGGATCGATACCCACCACTTCTCGCATTATGTTATACGTACGTATACTTCTTGTCGCATGGAGGAAAGTACATATTGCTTTGACTTGACTAGTTAATAGTCACTTTAGCTGCCGTAGGTAGTTTGGGTCTGTTGACTTGGTCATAAATCCATCCAGGGTTGGCCTGGCTGCTATTTATTTGATGCCGAATTCCAACAGTGGCACTAGATTAGGCATTAATGGTTCATGCGTGTGTTTGCTTTGCTGAAGGAGTCAGTTACATTAACGGCTATAACAATTCCACTATCGTTTGGCTGGCTAGATTTACTATTATACTTACATTTGGCAATTTTTTTGCATAACCGACTGAAAACCGAGCAGAATCCAGTAATAACTGCAGCAAACGGGCCACTTCAGACGCTATCGGTCTCGCTCCAGTCGCAAAAGAGGAATAAAGACAGGATTGTAATAAATCGAGACTGATCAAATCTAGAATCTCGCACATTATTGAAAATAAATTTTGTTGGTTCGTTGGTAGTTAAGTAAGTGGATATGACTCTTATTCCCATAAAAGCATTCTACCCCTCAGTCAGTTGTTATTCGCGTCATCTTGGCTATTTTTTGTACACAACCACATCCTGGTACAAATGACCTTTGGAGGATGAGTGAATAAACGAAAGAGTTTAATGACAAACAGTTCACTCATTTTCTCCTAATTGAAACTGGAAACTTTATGGCTTCACTCTGACGAAGAAAATTATGGACAATTTTACATATCTTACGAAATCGAGAAAAGTAGTCATATAAATTATCGCAACGGGTGAGAAGTGAGAATTTGAAAGGAGGAAGGTTGTTGTTTGCAAATTTTGTATGTCTAGCTATTCTTGCACCAAAATCAAGTCGTTGTTTAATAAGTGCTTAGGTATCTTGTCGCCACTTTACTCAGGTGGTGGTCCATGTCTTTGAAATTCACAATTACAGACTAAAGAGCTCACCATGGTGCATAATGGACTTTTGCAAATCCGGACGACCGGAAGACTCCAAAGGCTTTCACTCCTTTACTTTTACTTAGTTTGTATCCTCACATTGTCAAATGTGAGTCTCACATCGTCAGCTCAAAGTCCTTTTCTTGGTTGATACTGCCATGCATTATTGTCCAAATCACTGCGGGTTTATGTAAAAAGATGAAGAAACGCCTAATTGTGCAGAGGCTACCAAAGCAGACCTAATGACTGCGAGAAGACTCACGTGAAGAAAATTGCTCAGAGGTTTGCAATCACTGGTGTTGACACAACTCTTATTCTACAAGATTGAAATCTTACGAGATGAAAGACGTTGTTGGCAGGTAGTTGTGAGGAAATGTCAACATTCAGCGTTTTCCGGCTGTTCGGATGTATGTATGTATAATAAAAATAAAAAAGGACATGTGCCATATGACGATCATAAATTTTTATGAGTTGTCGAATGTGTGCGAAATTTGCACTATTGTATTCGCAGCGACTCAGCGTAGCATAAACCTTAGGGCAGCTTCCTGGATAAGAGAAAGCACAGATATTCCTTAATCGGCAGCCTTGGTCTCATCTTTACCATAGTAGAGAAACGGTAATAGTTGTGCAGCAACTTTGCCAGTTAAGGCAATCAGAGCACAATCGTGTCACTAACCTCTTCCAGTTTCATGATTTTCATCAAACGATTTCCGTGGTGGTCCAAACTGTGTAATTTTTAGGTTGTTTTAGGATGCAATGACCCAATAAATTTGGGAAATAAATGAATGAGTAATCAAACGAACGATGATTATGTAGCAACTGTTGGATTTCGAAACATTAATTTAATAGTTTTAGTTAGTTTTTATCAGGATGAAATATTTTGGGCTTATTATAGTTTATTCTGCTCCACCGGCGGCTACAAGGACTCATTTCTAATCTTTAATCACATCCAAGGCCCATTCATCGGATTTCCTGGTTTTCGGGTGTTCTGTTCCCTATTCAGTGTGGAATCCAACACTAGTAGATACTTACATGCCTTTTGAATTCTGCTGCTTTGATTTTGTCATTAATGTCTATTCTCGTTTTCCAATTTGAGACCTTTTCATTTCTTTGCAATCAGAATCATACATGCATCGACAACTTTTTATTATCTGATGTCCATGTGGGTCGAGGTAAGATTGCGTAGGTTGCTTTCTCCAAGACCTGATTATTGAAGCTATGGAAGCGGAATCAGTACATTTCTTGTACATAAAACTGACAATTTCATCCACATAGTAAAGTTATTGAATTTTTGGTCGAATAGCTTTTCGAAACCTCAAATCGATTCGGTTCTTATTTAGTAAAATGTGTGCAATAAACAACCTCCAGATATTTCTGGGAAACAATGAGTACCTCGTGGAATATAATACCTTACCCACTTTTAATCCCAGTATGTACATATCTATCCATATAATGTTTGTCATGAGGTCACAACGTGACTTGGGGAGATTCTTCGTCAAAAAGCCTTTTTGCAATGTGATGGACACAATAATAATGGGAGGATTACGTATGAATTGCTGACAAAAGTGTCCTGACGACACTCCACTTAATCTTGTTTAAGCAGATTTATCTGTGTGGACATGGACACTGATCTCTTTTCCCGAAACAATTTTAGTTTACTTTTGTACACATTTCTTGATCTTTTTAGGTGATTGCTGTAGAATGTAAATCCTCGTGGAATGCTTCTGAATTGTGTTGTTCGTGCCTAGCGATACAAGTTTATACATATTTATTCCCTGTTGTTGCATAACTCGTGGGAATGTTTTAGCACTTTAAATAAAGAAATTTCACATGGATTTAACTGGCCATGGTTACTTCGAACAACCGATGTTTCCAGTCTAGTTAGTGGGGAATGATTTCACACAAACATTCGGCATCCATGCAGAAATGTACGTACTTGGAACAGTCGAGCCAGTGCAATTGATTGTGTAATGATGTAAAGAAAGGGATCGTTGCCAGCAATGTCATCAACAAAACAAATGGGGTGGACAAATTCAATACCAGCAGGTGACCGTACATCGTTCTTTGTACATGTAATAACTAACCCGAACCAAACAGGTCAAAGACATTCGATCAAATTGTTACATATATTCTCCTGGAACAGGTTGAGTTGCAGAGAGTCCATTATTTTCCTATATTTTGTGTTCTGCATGGAATTTTCACAATCTAAGAAAGAGTAAAGATAGTAGAAAGAAGGGAATAAGAAAGGAGTAAGAACAACATCAGGGGAAACACATTTACGTCATGTGGACTTGTTCTCACAATTTTTTTAACCTGATATTTTATGGCACTCGTGGCAGTGGTGGTCATCTATCCGAAGGAAACGAGGAATACCATCTTCCAGGATGATACTTATGTAGCTGTAGGAAAACCTTACTGTTGGTTATATCCAAACGTTTGTAAATAGTGAAATATTGTGACTTGTAAGGGCCAGTTATGTATAGGAAAACAAGTCGTCATATTGGCTGGCATTATATAATAATGATAATAAAATATGTATGATACTGATCTTATCTCGCTGTATGCGGTACAAAAATGCGTGTTACATAAAATAGCTAAAAATAACATTTATTCATTAAGTAAGCAACATACCTGGGTTTGACATCTCTAAGCAATGGTTTCATAACGATTACATATGCATAAAAATTCTAAATTTTATACCTGATGAACAAATGTCGAGTTTACTCAAAAGCGAGGAATATTTCCCAATAATTAGATATTTCATTACCTGGAAATTTTCGTAAGAAGCTTATGTTATTAAGTACTCGATATAAATACCGATATAAATAGACATTCATCCATAATTCCCGACGCAGCTTCCAGTTTCATCGAGTCCTGTTGAAATTTCACATGGAACATGCTGCGCTCAAGGGCGGAGGACATTGCTAAAAAGTTCTCATAACGGACTTTATGATTTGCTCACTCAATGAAAGTGAGTGCCAGCACAGCAGGCGTGAATTTTGCCATGCTCATGTTGCGCAATCAAAATTAAGGAATTACTGAAGCCAGTCACCTTTTGATTTGCAAACTTATGTCAACGGTGGTTATTACATTCGCATGCACCGCAAATGTCTGTAAGTCGCGTTTGACGTGGTTTGGACTGATGCTGAGTATACTTCAAAGAAAGTTTAAGCTTGACGATGTGATAAGCGCATTGTGATTAGGTGGTAATAGAACCCGTGGTGGTAATTAAGTTCGAATGCTGTTCATTCGATCGACAAATTATCTTTTGCGGTTTTGTTAGTCTATGCCATTTGACTGTTGTGGGTCAGAAAGCAAATTCGGGCTCTTGAATTGCGCAATTGGTCGAGTGTGGTCGGATATCAGGACTTCTATAGTATACATTTTACCCACGTATCAAAACACGGGCATTGCCTCACCTTTCTTCTCTCTTACTCAATAATATCCATCTACTTTGCTTTGATTATAAGTATATATACTTGAATGTCTTTTGACACTGGGGTTTAAGTTTACGTCAGTAAGTACTATTCCACAATTTGCATATAGTTGAACGCTTCCATATTTGTCCATTAAATTTGCTCATTCCACTCATTGTAAATACTCACTCACAATTAGTGGGAGCTTATTAGCTTGCACTTACTTGTGCATATCCTTATCGCGTCCTTGAACGAAAGCTTTCTTGGACATAACATTCACACTGATTATTTGAGTGACATGAAAAAATAATGAGCTGTTTGCATTTCAAATAAAAAAACCTCCAGTGTGCAGTACTCATTTAGCCCGAGTCAGGGACATGGTCCGCCTCTAAATTTTTGTCCGAATTGACGAAACTATTACCACCACGAATTTCACTTCAGAAACTTTGATTGCCAACAATTAGCAATCTGTGTGCCAAATTTCTAGGACTATTTTGAAATTTTAGTGCAAGATACCCTATCCATCTACATGACCCCCACCGGTCAACCACTTGACCAATTTCGCTCATCTACAAACTCGTTGCCTAACTTTGTTCAATATGCGTATGGTAAAAATTTCAGTCCATCAGTTCAGCGGTTTTGCCCCTATCGAGTTCACAGACGGATGGACATGACGGTTCCATAAGGCTTTACTCGGGCTAAAAACCTGCAAAAACAGTATATGTATACTTGCACAGAACTGGTTACGTGTTGTGCATGTCCATTGAATTAACAAGCTTTCATTATTTGCAGTTCTAGTCGGGTTACGTGGTCCATAAAGAGCACAGCTCTCTTTGACGTGTTCATCCCACAATAAAAGTGAAAGTCAAATGAACCAAAGGATACTAATCAATTCATGAAATATGATATTAGCAGACGACTCGTATTATATTATTTCATATTTAGTAATGAATTTGCAATTCGTACCACATCCTCTGCAGTGTGGTCTCCTGAGGGAACCAGTATAATCCAGTAATTATCCAGCTTAAAACATGCATTGCACATGTTTCATTGTTAAAATGTGAGTTGTCTATATTCGTAGTTTCCGAATTTGCTCAGTGGAAAATTGTGTTGCATTAAAAATGGACTAAACATTGTATTTCTGCTTTGTTCATTACTAAAGAATTTGTCACGAGCCACATTTTGCTCGATTGTAAGTCATCACTTGAATTTCATAAATCAAATTACGTATCAGGGTTGATCATGACTTTATTCATTGCAACAAATTTATATTTTATGAGTTATTAAAAACATCTGAGTAGGTAACAATCGTACACATGTACATGTTTGGATGAATTAATTTGCAATAAAAAATGTATCCATTAAATAACATATACAGAATGCTATTTAAAGTAATAAAGGTTTATGCTGAGAACATTATACAATTATTGTAACGCAACAACACACGTCCTGTCAAAACAACGCATTGATTTACTAATCCCACTCCATTTACTTGTTCTGTACTAGATTTTGGTCACCAACGCCTGAACCAGCAACCAAGAAACATAACGGACTTAGTTTCCTCTTTCTGGAACGAGTTCTGAAACCGTGGTCACCTGCGCAAGAAGATTTTCAGGTAGTGCCAATTTCATTCCACTCGGGATTTTCTTGCTGAATACACACACACACAAGCTAAACCCCAACGACTACAGCTTCGAAACGGAGCGAAGCATCAAACAAACAAAGTTCACAGTTTCGGAGCAACTCTTATCCCCTTACTTGCTCATCTTTCAAACTTATGCGATCAGTCCCAAGTTGACAAGCGGATCAGCATCACGAAGTCTCCTGAAGTCACGCCGTTGTCCTGAGAATCTTTCACTCCGAATCACTATAAACTGATTGATATTGAGTGGTGGTGTTACCCTCAGTTGTGAAATCCCAGTGATTCGAAGTTCAAATTTTGAACTATAACTAAGAGAATAAACTTCAAGTATTTCAAACATACTCGAGCTCCCCAGTTCAATCAAATACCATGAAATTCTCCTCTCAACTTTTCCAATATTCGTATCCAGTAATTCTCATCGGCAGCTCTGGGGATTCCATTGCTTGAGACGCCTGGCAAATCAGAGACCAAATATCACCTGAAATACATATATCTGAAGTCAAGTATTACTTCGTGTGACCTTCATCATTAAATCCTTTATCCGCGCCCAGTATCAAGATGGAAGTTACTCAAAAGATATTGAAAACAGTCATTATTTTGTTTATGTTGCAACACGATGTGGAATCTGTTGTAGCGTCCGAGTGGTCGTTGGCAGGTCCGGCGGATGAGTATGTGATGGCCGTGATAAATATTACCTATATTAATCCTTTAACTGGAAAGCAGAAGCACCCAGAGTATCAAGGAGCTGAGGTTAGTGATTGCATTTTCATGAAAAATTTTACGGGTATAATCTCACTCTAATATATTTCGCAATTATTGCTTTCTTTTAGATCGGAAAGTTTGGAATGGGGAAAGTCGGTCCGGCCGTTGGCACTGTGGTGCATGTGAGATCTAGACGGACTGCGGATGGCAAAGTCAACCACTACGGATGTGAGCCTTTAGATGGTCCTTTTCCAGATCGACCATGGATCGCTCTGATAAAGAGGGGAAAGTAAGACTCGGTCTTTGATCATCTTTTTGCTAGTTATCTTCCGTGTCTCTTGTGTGCAATGAATTTTTTATTAAATAATTACAGTTGTAACTTTGACCGAAAATTAGAAAATGCTCAAGCTCGCAACGCTGTTGCAATGGTAAGAATTTTTTCACATCTTGTGACTTGCAGAAAAAATGCAATTTAATTTATGAACGTGTATTTTGCAAATAGCTTGTCTACGATCTTGAGGATAGAGACACATTAGAGAAAATGGGTTTGAGCAACTGCAGAAATTGTAAGTTTTTTCGCCGGGGTTGATTTTCTTTGATTTGATTTTTATGGCTCCATAAAAAAACTCCATAATACCACTCTTGAAAATTTCAGGCAGTATTCCTGGAGTTTTTACCTACAAGAGAATTGGAGAGGAAATCGCAAATGTCAGTGACAGCGGAATCCTGGTGGAGATGATTATTACCGTCGGAGAAACCTGTACTCGTCCTTATAGCGGTATTAATCGGTAAGTAAAGTAATCCGGTGAAATTTGCCGAAATGTCATCCTCCCATTTCCCCCCTGGTCCATGATGAGCATAATAAATTACAAGGGAAACTTGTACCATCCAAGAAATCACAGCTACAATAACTTCAAAACTTCTTACGTTCATGATTTCAGAGTTATCAGAATTTATCAACTTTTTTTCCTATCACACAATGATGAATAAGTGATTAGACGGGGCACACACCTAAAGTGGACCACTTGATGGTTTTCTACCTAGCAAGTGCTGAATCTTGCTTTCTCGGAACAGAGCAGAGATGTGAGAATAAGTTGAAAAGTTAGGTTACCTTGTTTCACCACAAGTTATTATTTAGCTGACACAACTTTCCTCCATTTCTCAAAGTTTATTTATTACCCAATTCTTCAAGTTTCACCGTATGTAATGTATAAACAAACAAGCAGCCAAATAAGGGTTGTTAATTTCCTTTTTAGAATTATGAAATTATGTCCCTAGGCAAATTTAGATGGTTTCTGCTTCCAGGACTTGTTTGCTAACTACTTACTCTCCACAAAAAGTTATATAAAAAAAATCATTGTTTCTTTAAACTTTAGTTTACATAGTGGTGTAACGCTATCGCAATCATAATAATAATTAAACATTTGCACTCATTCTCTGCACCAAAATTTATTACTTGCTAAACAAGATTGATCTATGTACATCCTTATTAAACCGATTTAATTGTGGGAAGTCGTGGGAAGTGAGTGTTCCTGAGCAAGGACTGACCTAGACCTCTAGAGATTACAAAAGATGATACGTGTCTGTAAAACGCAAATAACAATTCGGATGCGGTTTTCCTTGACTCATGGGTTCTTTTATGTTGATTGTTAGGAAATAAAACTCGTTATATCGTAATATTGGTGAAAGAATTCGTTCCTCCAATGATAATAATTCATCCTTAAATTTATCTCTTTATGCATCAAAGCCTGGGCAATAGTTGATCTTTTCGCTGGAAGATTAGTGATTTTGTGCTACAAGGCATTCCATCATTTCAGAGAACATTTCATTGATTCCCATGAATCTCGAGTTTTTTGCTTCTACTTGTGCACAATTGTGTGTCTCGCCCGATTGGGGAAAGAATAAACGATACAAATTTCTGCAGTTTATTATCCTTTGTTCGAAAATTCGCTTTTAAGTTCAACAAATTTGATTGTTCTTTTCTCCCATGATTTTAACTTCCCAATAATAACTTGATTTGCAGAAACACGCACTAAACTTCTCAGACAGCACTTCAAAGTGTCCTATTAATTAGGCTCATTCTACTGTAAAACAATGCATTCTATTAATACCGACTCACTTTTCATCGCTTCTTACAATTTGCTTAGCATTGATCATACCCCACAATATTTATGGACATCCCTTGGTCCTTTGTGCTGCTATGCTGCAGTGCAGTAGTAAAATATAGTCATAAAGTCAACCCGACTCCCAAAAGTCCAGTATATACTTTGCCAAAACGCATGCCTTACATAACCACCAGCACAGTCTGACCTGTTCGGGTTGCAGTAGTCGCAGCTTACATATTATTATTGCTCACTGACGGGTGTCGTGTCGTCCTTTGTCATCTCTTCCATTATGATTGCTTGGAAATACAAATTGTGACACGAAACCAGTCCCGACTTGTGCGGATGGAAGAGTATATTACGGCCTAAATTCTTTGTTATTTGATGTACGTTTTAATAGCAAGTTGAAACCGAAGAACGCACGTAGTAATATTGCCACCGGTTGTGCACGTTGTGGTCTGACCCGGTTTCTTCCCCTCTCCATATGTTGTTTGCTTCCTGCTCCTCCTGCTATACCCACACACATAAATTTAATTGTGCGACATGAGTCAAAGTCAACACCATAATCATCAACAACACCAAAAAGTGTGTTATATGCCTCACATGGAGAAAGATGTTGATGATCCTCTGCATATATTCGTCATCGGATCGGTTTGTTTTGGATACCAACCAACTTTAGTTTAGTTTGTGAGTGGCAAGTCTCACTCACACGCTCAGTCTGGTGAAAGCAACTTACTCGTGTGGTGGTCATGCTGCCCTTTTCCCTGTAGTCAATAGTTACAGTAGTCAGTCAGTCAGTCAGGTGGATTTTCAGATAATATTCTCTTGCCATCGATTGATTTGGTCGTGAGAATTGTCGACTTACTTACTCCACCGGTGTAACTGCTCTAACATGGCCAGGGGGTGTAGTGGTGGGGCCGGAAATGAGGGGTTTTACCACCCAGGACACGGTCGTTGGACGTTTCGCTGTAAAAATGTGAAAGTTCCACGAGGGTTTAGTAAATGCAATAATTGCATCAGCAACGGCTCAGAACTGTCGACATGTACTTATGGCACTAACGGGGATGGAACATGTGCCTTGAGTGGGCTTAGCGAGTCAGTCTCAGAAAATCCGTTTTATTTACTGTGTTACATGACACACATGAAGGAAATCTCATTAATTTGAACTTTGTTTAATTTCAGTACATCCGTTCTCTTTGTGTCAATCTCCTTCATCGTTCTGATGATCATTTCGCTCGCGTGGCTAGTCTTTTACTATGTGCAACGGTTCCGATATTTGCATGCGAAGGATCGCCTCGCTGTAAGTTATCCTTTTTTTATTTTTTACCCTATCGATTTTTTAACGTGTTGACTGGGATGGTGTGTTACTACTTTATGTATAATTTACCTTTGCAGCAACGCTTGTGCAATGCGGCGAAGAAGGCTTTAGCGAAAATTCCTACAAGAAACGTAAAACTCACGGACAAGGTCAGTTTGATTACGAGCATAGTTTCTACGTGCGAAATCATATAAGAGCTACCAAATCAATACTTATTATGTCGTTCTGAATGGCTGGTTCCTTGTTGTAGGAAATTGCTGGCGAGGCAGAATGTTGTGCTGTGTGTATTGAATTTTACGCGTCTGGTGATGTGCTAAGAACTCTTCCGTGCCGGTATGGAAAATAAATAATAAGCACCGTGTTGCGATTACGATGTTGATAAAGGTAATGAAACGTTATATAAATTATTGTAGACATGAATTCCACAAAGGCTGTGTCGACCCTTGGTTGCTAGAACATCGTACGTGTCCTATGTGCAAGATGGACATTCTCAAATATTATGGTTTTATTGTAAGCTTGGACTTATCGTGTGTTTGATGTTTATATATTGACAAATAGGATATGTAACTGGACAACTTTTGTACTTTAGTTCACGGGAAGTCAAGAATCCATTCTTCATTTAGACCTTGAAGATGGCAATCTTAATTCGTCGGATTCTCGCGACACGGACACGCCAACTCATAACCATCAAACTCATCAAGTTCGTTACGCCGAGCCGGCTGATACTCGAAACATGAGTGATAATCCACAGTCATCAAACTCGTCGTGCCCTAGTCGTCAGCAGCAACAGAACCAAACAGGTGATGCGGCTATTAGAAAACCTTCCTTGATTTCTTTGGTAAGTGTACATGCATACATAAATATACAAAAAAGCTCATTGGAAACAGACCATATTTTTCTTGCTTATTTCAAATTCTACATTTTAATTAAAGACGGTCGTAGCTACCGAGTGCGACGGACCAATCTCCCCGATCTCTGGGAAAAGCGGGTATGCATATGACTGCAAATGCAGATGTTTGTGCGACAAAGCAACATCCACAAGGCTTTCCGATGTTCAGCACCCGGTATGTTACGTTCATGAAGAAGCTGAAATCGAAAGCCACCACAGTTTGGAAGATTCTTCTTCAGAAATGAGTGGAGTAGCTGCTTCCCACCAACCCCTCATTCACAGAGAAGACTCAGGTCTTGCTCATCAAATTAATGCAAATCCTCATCACCAAGTCGATTCAAACTACAAGTCTCTGTCAACAAACAGTGGGGAAGAATTGCATCATCCAGACTTTATTGCTGCCGACTCTCAAAATTCTGCAAGCCCGGATGAAATGACCACCCCTCCTCCAACCGCTACGCCATAGTACCTAATTAATCAGACGGCGATACTCATCAGTAGAGTTGATTGAGTTATCGACATAACAAAAAAATCCAAGTATATGCATAGTTTAGTCACCACCTGTTAATTATTTTTCCCAGCTAGTTTTGTAATTCGTGGTACATGCTATTTTAAATTTTCTGTTAAAAGTTGTACACGCTACCTGAGAGTCGCTAGAAAAAGTCATAAATATCTAAACTTTACAAATCATTATTGATTCACAAGTTTTAAATACTAGAGCTTGATGTTACACACGAATTTTCGTTAAATGAGTCATTTTCGCTGTAATATAAATGTTGTTATCATCATAATCATAATCATTATCAACGTAATGTCTTATATATCGTACATATATATTTAAATATTTAACGTAAATTTAGAAAAGTCAATTTTTACACGTACGCAATTAACAATATTAATTTCGTCGTAAAAAAAATCATTATTTGTACATATGTAGTTGCTCGTCAACCTTAAAATCATCAAATATTGCTGTGATGTTAAATTTCAGAGTGAGGCTTCATTCGCAGTGAATAACAAAGTATCCGCAACATAACCCATCTAAATGTTTTAAGCAGCTATTATATTAGTCAATATTAATTATGATTTTCTCTCAATAGAGTACTTATTACAACAAAAGCATACATGTGTAGAGCACCTTTTCTCCCGTAATTTCAATCTTCAGTCTAAATGTAGCCGTAGCGTGTATCCGAAATCCGAATGGGTTTTTGTACTGTTTAACAACTTAAAATCTTTTAGCATTCCAAGAAATGAAGGAACGCTAACCGATTCAGTTTTACAAATTTTGCAGTGAAACTTGCTCAAATTCCGGAAGATGCACACTGGATACAGTACACGCATGGATCGTTTATCATTTTTATTATTACTACTACACTATTGTTATTATTTCTCAATTTTTTGTACGCTTATTTTGTTATTGAGTTGATCTAACCTTTAAAATATCGATATATTTTACTTTGTCTGCGAATTATTATTTGCAAATGCGCATATATCTAAATACTACATTCCAGTTTTATTATTTTGCTACAGCCTTTTACAATTTGTTCTGAATGTGTTTGATTTAAAATTCAAATTGAAACTGTCCAGCTTTTTCTCACCTAACTTATATGTGTGCCTATCAGAGATGTCTTTTAGATTATCGAATCAATAGCCTATATATCTATATATGTATCTATATATCAACATAGCAAATCGTGGCCATATTTAAAACTCTGTTAATTCTCTTCATGATTAAATGAGTGTTATGCGAAATGAAAAAAAATGATCATTGGTTATATATTTATGAAATGATGTTGTTTAGCTAGTCAAGATTGACAGTTGTGTAACTTTTACGTTAACTGTTTGCAAATTACAATGCAAATAAAACCATTTATGGGACTCTTAATGCTTGTTGTCTATGCTGATTGCACAAATACAATAAGAATGGATGTTATATTTTCAAAACTAGTGACTCTTTTTCAACAAAAATTCGAGGACGACGACAAATTCTTATTAGTTGTTATAATTTTGTTATATTTGGAATTAAATAAATACATGCGCTAAGATAGTGAGTATTTACTACGTCTACTTCTGCTGCTGCTTATTGTTGGTGAAAGCATTTTGAAGGAGTGAAGAAATTAAGGATTGCTCAAGCTGCTTCCGAACAGCTTCGTTTGCAGCGTCTGAAGAAGTCGTGACAGGTTTGGCATTGGCATTAGGAAGAATTTGGGCAAGGAACGTGTTGGAGGAGTCGGGTCCTCTGGCCAAATTTCGATTTCTGTTGGCGTTGCCACCACTGAGTTGGTTCAGCATTCCTCCGAAAAGTCCACCCAAAGATGCCAAAAGGTTTCCTGGATTAAGGTCGTCGGACTGTGGAGGCTTGGCTACGACTGGCTGGAAAAATCTCACGGATCGATTCTGCTCAACGAGGAGAGTGTGTAAAAAAATTAGTGAGTTAATTAAATAGTTAAGCCCATATCCAAAACCAAAAATCTTAAATCCATTTATTAAATGTAGTGTGAGTTAGTAGTCATTACGGTGTCTATAGTAAGATGTGATAGTGTTTAGTTGCAGGTGATTAAGCTGAATTTTTTTTAGCCAAAAATTTGTAAGCAAAAATTCAAAAATCGTAGCTAGAAACAAAACAAAAAGCAAGCCAATTATAATAAACGATTAACAAGTAGAGTTTTTTTTTCATTTCGCAACGCACATTCGTTTATTTCTCTTATCTTATTTATAATTATCATAATCTCAAGTCCATTATATAAAGCAGATCATATATCACATTACGACGACGACGCAAGCAAAAGTCAGTTCCTTACCATTTATGTCCTTACCATAACGTCTCTTCTCGTGATAATTACGAAATCCGCATAATTATCGGAGCAATTCGTACATTTGGGTAACAACTAGACTATGTGTTTAGTCTAGGCTTAATTTCTCGTAAAAAAACTGTATATTATCGTAAACAGTGTTTACTAAACACTGGGCGAGTGTTATCATAACGTAATTAGAAATTATGCGTCACATTTTCAGAAATATATTGTCGTAGGATAAAACACAGCATTTTAAGTTATATGATAAAATAAATTTCTTAACAATAATATTTACAAACATAAATTGCACAGAATTGCATCACATTTAAGACAAAACAACACAACAATTATTGAGGCGAGAAGCAGTCGATGAAAAATATTTCTCGTCAATTATTTTCATAGTCGTCATATCTGTCACAAATTCACTATTATCCACTGTAAGTCCAAGTTGCAAGTTTCGTCTGTCAAGTTATTACGGTCAACTCGTATTAATACTATTATGGTTTACACGTTTTTGCTTACTAATCCTAATTGTAAGTATGTATGTCATGTCATTTTTTGACATTTAATTGCAAAATTGACAGTGTTCAAGAAATAAAGCTATCCAAGAAGAAGTGTCAAGTATTTCGTAAAATACCACGCGACACGGTACAAATAATTAATCTTACTGCTCATACAAAAATGTCGAAATATAGTATATTGGAGAATTACATGTAACAAGTAAAGTACTCCGTCTTGTCGTTTCTTTTAGTCGCTTCACTAAATAACGTAAAAAGCATGACTATCCATCAGATTAGTAAGTCGTATCATTCCAAAGTTTTGGTAGCTAATCGTCATAAATTTGCATTCAAGTAGTCACGCGTTTGTTGCTAGTAAACGTTCAGTAATTTATGGAGTAGCAGTTTTAGCTGAAGTGGAAACACCTACAGGCGTGGAGCCAGAAGCGGCGGTGTCATCTTTCGCAGGGGCTGGGGTCGAAGCTGCAATTGTTATTCTAAAATTGGGCTCCGAAGCACTCGGATATCCTCCTGAGCCAGAGTGGGAGGAGGAAGATGACTGTGGCAGGTTGAAAAGGGCAGCCAATGGGTTTCCCCCAGAGGAACCACCACCAAAGTTGAGAAGCGGTCTGCCCCCAGTGAACGGGGAGAGGAGACCGTTCAACAAGTTCAGCTTGGTGTTGATGGCCGTTTGTGCAAACTGGAAATGATTTGAGAGCTGGTTACAAAAAAATAAGTGGCGACGAATCCATAATAATTCTGTAAGTACGACCGGATGTTGAGGGTTAGGAGGATACAAGACGGCTTGAGGACGGACTTGAGGAGGAATATCTGGACTGGATGGATAGCGGATGCATTGAGGAATAAGGTTGTTAAAGGATTATGATCATGGTGGAAAGTTAGTAAGGTTATTTGTGGTAGTAGGTTTTATTACAGGATTTGGCTAGGTTATAGGACTTAGCAAGCAGGACATGTTATTATTATTGCATCACTTAATCAGTTCAAGGAGTTCATATAATGTAGGAATTATGGATATTATATGAAGTTGGAAAAGGTAAAAGGTAGAAACATCAGTCACTTATTGCATGACAAACTTAAAATTCAAACCAATTTAAAATACGGATAATATCAAATTTAATTAATACTGTACATTGCCAACTCCTCCCAAGACCGATGCTGGTCCAGAGCCATCCAAACCTCGACCACCGCCACCCGTCAATGCACTAAAGTTCAGGGCGTTGGGTCCATTAAACAAGGCGGAGAAGGTGTTGGTGATCGTTTGGGCCAACTGACTCGCAAAGTTCACGGCAGACTGTAAAAATTAAAATCAGTCAGATTCTAGATAGACGACTTTAAGGAAAAGAAATGAGTTTAGCATTTTTACATCATGTGTGGCATTTACAATGTTTTACGCATTTTAGAGTATTTACAAATGTTCATGTACGTCATAGATTAACAGCGTCTGTTGTGGGAAGGAATTGGCGTTACCCGGCTCAAGGTATGTACGTTCGTAGTAAAGGTCGAATTTTTTCCTGCATCAGATTTCTACAACTTTTGACGAAGATTTTTTTTTCAGAAGCGATATTGTTATGTTCAAATACGTGTAAAGTCAACCTTCAGAGTACAGTGTCACCCGACTGGAGGAACGAATACGAAATTTGTATAAAAATGAAAGCTCAGAGTTACAGCAATTTCAACTATTTCCAATTCTAACAATAAGTAATGTCCAAAACCAGGAAAATAACAGTAATTAAGAAAAGTAAATACAGTTTATAAATATTGAGCGACTTGTTTAAAGATTAGAATTGAATACAACAGTCAAATTGTAGAATCCCTACGGAAGCTCGTTAACTTACTGTTTTTCGTCTCCATCAGTACTTGTCGTCATCCATTTTGTCTTCAGTTTCCGTACACATTTTGTCTAGTCCACGTGTCAACGGGGTATGACCGTCATCTTCCTTGTTGGCGTTTGTCGCCCCATGCGATGTATGAACATGAAAGCTTTGTTCATTGTCTCGTCTTGAGCATGCTACCAATTTTGTAAGTAATTGGTTGTCGCGTAAGTAGATCGAAAATATTTTGTGATTGCCAAGGGAATTATTATAAATGTCCTCATTTTCTGGTTTTCTATAAGACCAGTGAAGTTGCGGGTGAAAGTCCTAACTGCAAACAGCCATTCGTCGATTTATGTATATATGTAGATGCACTTGTAGAAATACAATATGCAAATATGTAAATTTCTGTCGCTCTGTGCTGTCTAGTTATTACTCGATGAAAAATAGGTTCACTATTTTCACTGTCTAACTTGACCAGATAATTGTTAAACATTATTCTCGTGTTAAATTGATTAGTGTTTTTCCAGCAGCCCTATTTGTTACAGCATGTTGTATTAGTTTTGCAGCCCAATTTTCCAGCAGATTCGACGTCATGAAACGAACCTCGTAAACACCTTGAAAGCCTTGGGAGATGGATCCTACACTAATTCGTAATGATTTGGTGCCTGCCTTTAAAATCCGCCCTCCAGAATCTACTGCTTTTGAGGCTACTTGGGTGGTGGCGTTGAAGATTATTGGAACATTATCAGAGACCAAGCGTGTGCCGCCCTAATAAATAATTCATGAACATGACCCATTCTTCGTACTCGTAAGAGCACCCTCCACAAAAACCGTAAATTGTTAAAATACAGATGGAATTAGTTTTTGTAAATTGTGATCATGACCACTCTATGCATGAATTTGTACAATTTCAGTCCTGAAACCGAGTAAGAGTCAGTAAATGTTTCAACAATTCAACATATTCATACTTTTATTTATTGTCACCAGTCGGTCATTTTAAATATCAGTATTTAATTAATTAGTACAAGTCAGCTAAATATCAGTTAGGTCTACATTTTTCATGTCTATTATTACGTTAAGTGTCAAATTACAAATTAATATCATGCACACACACACAAAACGTCTTTCGAGAATTATAAAGGTTTCAATGCCTCTTTTTCATTTTGATACACGTCTTTCGTAATTTTGTAATTTCAGAGTTCATGTTTTAAAATGTCGTCATTCGTAAAAGTACAAAAGTTAATAATTAAATCTATAATATCTCGTTGTACGTACACATAAATTTCGCCTTATTCTTAGTCTAGTCGTCCTGGGGTTTTTGTCATAAAAATATACTGCTACCAGGTATCTATCTATTTAACGGTACAAATATCGTCATAATTAACAATTCACACTACACAACTATTCCCCAATGGTTATCATAATAATAATAGCCCTTAATTATTAGTGACTATTGAACACATTCACTCGTCACCCATGCCGAACATATATTAAAATAACCTCAGTCGTTGAAAAAACCATGCACCCAAAAAACTGAGAAACTCACTAACTACAAAAAAATTGAGCAATTAGCGCACCATGTATCCAGCTCGTTCTAAAAAAACTATTTTCAAATTGAAATCTCAGCTCCACAACAATAAAGAAATTGATCTGGAGATCGATAATTTAATAAAATTATTACGACGACAAACTTCCTGACGATAAAAGTGGTCAAAATCTACGTCATAATATTTTCTTCATTTCAAAAACAAGTTTCGTAGTAAGTCTCAAAATCTCAGAAGCATTCACCACTTAATAATTTTCATTTCTAATTAGTTCATCGTCAATTTGTTTCAAATATTCCTCATCCACTCACGCACTTTCTACCATAATTACTACTGTCGTCTGTATCCACGTATTGACTGACTGACTGAGAAGTTGCCATCCTGAATCTAAATATTCATCCACCATCTAAACTACCTAAGTAATCGTACTACAAACTAATGTAAAATAGTTCTCTACACCTCTCTGAGTTCCATATCGTAATCTATTGTAATTGAGTTGTAGCTTAAGGTTGTCTTGTAACAGTGTTGTCAAGAAACTTAGGCGTAACCCCCAGTCGCCGTGCCTCCACCATGACCACCTGCATTTCCAAGCGCGTTGTTCGCAGTGGCAGCGAAACCTCCTATAGAGTTTGCTACCGCGGCACCAACCTGAGTTCACGATTTGTTAGTTTGGGTCAAGAAAGGTGTCAATCTCATACATAATCCGTGATTTCATAAAGCATTTCCAAAAATATATGTATTTATGAATATATTGCCATCATATTAGCTAACCTGAGTTACGGCTCCAAAGATTCTGGCCTTGGCGGCAAGGACATCACCAGCCGTCCGAGTTACGGATGCCAAAACTGGAGGAGCGGACTGTACAACGGCACCAACGATTTGACCCTTGGCGTTCAAAAGGCTCAATAAGGTGGAAACAGTTCCCTGGAAGATTTCAGCAGAATTTTTAGTTAGTCGTAATTGATGCCGACAAGTTTATTCACTCACTTGAAGAATGTTGGCAGCAACTCCAACCAAACTGTTGAGCAACTGAGTTCCAAAGTTGACAGTGTTGGCAGCAGCTTGAGAAAAGACATTGATAAAGTTGTTTGGAGTTTCAGCCACGGTGTTGGGTCCCTAAAAAGATGAGCCTCGATTAAAATCTGGTGCATCTGGAAGATGCAAATTGATTATCAAATATCCTTTACGCACATAAGATGAGCTTGGATATCCACTGAATCCCGAGGCGGATGACCCTCTCTCGTTCCTCTGAACGGCTTCATTCGTGGAAGAAGCGTCGGCCTGGAGGGAAGAGGGTACTGCACCAGTCAGCCCCTTCAACAAGGTTGTCTTCGTGTCAACGATGGACTTTGTGCCCTGAGTTAAAGTGCTAGCAACTCCCTGTTTCCAAATACAAATTTAATTAGCCAAACGAACATCTCTTAACAATTTCTTAAGAACTATGCAGCCAAGGTAAAAATATGATGGTTTCAAACGTCCTCCATTTCATTTTCATATTGACAAAAGTTTGCAAAATCTGATATCTTCCGTAATGATGACATATTAATTTGACGACATCACATAAGATGACTTTTCATAGAAATTCATGAAAACATAATTGCCAGTTCAGAATATAATGTCCTCCAGTCCGTTCCGTTAATTGAGTGTGTGACTCGTGTGCAGAGTCGCAAAGTGCTGGTTGTCAAACGTTCGTAAATGTGGAAATGTGCTACTTTGAGAAATCGTGTTAGACGAATCACGTCAGTTCGTAAATGAGTACTTAATTTTGTAAAATGTACTTACGTAAAATAGTTTTGTGCTATTACTACTACTACAATTGCAAATAATTGATGACTACTAAAAGCCACGCAGCGAGGGACGTTACACAGTCACACAAATACAAACTAACTAAAAAAATCCACAACGGATCATGTACTACGGACAAAACATTAATAAAAAAAGCACACTAAAAATACTCTACAAAATTGATTTGTTTGTGGGTACAATTCGCGTGCAAATAACCTGCAAGACAATACAATTGGGTGCTAAGTGCTCACATTTGCAATACGAATAGCTTTTCTTGCGCCAGTTTCCGCAGTTTCTGCAGCGGTTTCCGCAATTCCAGTGACGATTCGAGCCCCCGTGCCCAGCGCCTGTTCCGCAGCGACATCCACACCTTCCAGAATTTGAATGGCAGAGTTGCCCAAATTTTTGAAACCGGTTCCAAGTTGTTGAGAAACTTCCTTTATATTTATAGGCAAATATTAAAACTACGTCTACTTTACCACTAGCAGTCGTCTTCGTATTTTACCGTCGTGAGCAGGTCAATAAATATGGTCGGAGTACATAAATAATAAATGGATGAAGCAATACATAGGCAAATAAATACAATAATATTACCAACCAGACCGTAATGGACACTAAAATACCGTCATTTCTGTGCTCCACCCACATTGGTTGAGGTCACTGATGGGTCGTTGAAGTAATACGTACATACATAAGTATCACTTATTTTCAACTAAATTGAAAATCTGAAAATCATTTAACTCACTCGCACACGTTGAGGAAGGCTACTCGTTTTGCTAGTTATACATAAATACTTGGTTAGTGGCGATTGCTTTGCTTGTTAATTTATTCTCGATTTGGTAAATTCGCAATTGTTTCCAATTTTGTAATGCTGCATGGGAAACGTTTGTCATAATCATTTCAAGGATGAGATTCAAACCCAGTAATTGTTTGTTTAAAGAGATATGCTTGGCATTGACTTTTGTTTTACAATAAGAAACGACACGTTTTTTTAGAGCTTTTGCTCGCTTTTTTCACTCTACGGTCTCTCCTCCTACTACCAGTGGTCTGACTTTAATATATTTTTTAAATACAATGAAAAGGCCATTAAGCGGGGTAGGAAAGCGATAAGTAAGCATAAAGCTAGCGAACCATGTGCCAACCAACATGGACAGGGAGTCAAACGTCACACCGTCATTCACAACAAGAATCATTAAGAGCATAAATATCTCATCACACTATTTATAAAAATGTCTGTAATTTCACACCACCACAACCTCCACAATCCCTTATGCTTCGACACAAGATTCTGCAACAAGTCGTATTCACAAAGCGAGCTATAAATAGAATTGCATGCAATTCTTGAAATTGCAAAGATCTTATTTATAATCTTGTGTAATGGAGAAGTCATAAGGGGATTGTGGTATTAAATAAATGCAAATACAGGTGCAATCATCAACAAGTAGTAAGTTTAAACTCCTCTCGAGTCCGATGAGGTCGTGGTTGTCCGAAATCGTCAATCAAAAAGTCGAGTATCGTTTTTGAGTAATGTGACCACCTCTAATGCTTTGGTAATTCTTTGCATGGGTGGCTCTTCGTCCGTGGGCACATATTTTCCAGAGTCCGAGGCAATACTTCGTACAACCTTGGATTGGATACTTTCGGATCCTTGGAGAGGGTCATCTTGATCTTGGTAGTACACCTGAGAAGGGCGAAGAAAATGTTTCGTAAATTTATCACTTGTTCGGTTTTTAGTCAGTTTTAAAGTATTTTATTTTCGTGGGGTCAACGTCGTCATTTTACTTGATAACGTCAATTGTCAACCAGTCGGAGGAATTCTGTTGGATTTTATGTAAATTAATCTAAATGAGTTCATTATCTTGGCAATAATGAAGATGTGTGTAATCCAAACCATAATAAATCTAGTAATTTTCATGTAAATGCATAAAGTTGCAATGGCTAATCCAGGTAGTCCATATGCAGTAGGCTTATGTAAAAATGAGTAAAATAGTACTTTAAGATATCTAAGTCTCGTTCTACTTTTTTTGCCCTCAACTCTTGTTCCACTAGTTAACAAAATTAGATGTTAATGCACATAATCTAGTTGAGTTTGTGCAATGATAAGGGCGCACTACGAAGGCGGAGAAAATTCAAGGCAATGTAAATCAAAATGATTCCTCAATTAATGATTTGTTCATCAAAATTTTAGTTCAAGATTGTTCACACAACTCTCGTTGGGTAAATTAACCAGCGTCTTTGTAAACATTGCATTATATAATGATAAAGCCCAGTGCTATGCTTCGTATAATAATTTATACTTATTTTAACGCATAAAATTACCATTTTCCACACAGAAGGAGCATCGTTTCGTGTAAGTACAGCATACATAATACATATGCACATATGTGTACCTACATATATTGCATGCACTACAAGTTCGCAGCTGAAAGTGCAAGTAACCCACGAAATGCCACATTTTCCAAGTAGAATTATGTACAGCGTCTGTGTCAGAGCACGCTATAATTATGTTGCATTGAGATTTACACAATTATTCAACTTGCTTCTTTTTTCATACGTACGGTTGCATTTTCATCCTTCCCTATCCACTCATTATTCAATTACTTCATACGTATGCAAAAATCAAAAGTTTTCATAAAAGGACTCAATAAAAAGTTCCTTCACTTAAAACAAGTTCGCATATCGTGTGACTTCGTATCGAAAATTGTCGCTCTAGTGTGAACCAGGTTACTCTATTAAGTTCTAGTTTATGTAATACAAGCTCAGCCCCGTGATGATGAATGACGAATTCTGAGAAAAAGTTCTCTGTTGGTTTTTTTAGATAATTGATGCCCTGCTGCTGTCACTTGTCCTTTCCGTCACAAAAGGTGCACAGTACAGTGTTTAGGCTGTAAAGTGCGATGCAACTTTAATTGCAGAAGTGTATTGAAGTGCATATATGTACATGTACGTACATGTAGGTACTCCTACATATGTAGCATAAGGGTTCTATTCATTTCATAAATAGGAGCATTATCACACGTTTTCAATCAACCACACAAAAAACAAAGGATTTGGAAACACAGGTTTGATGAAACCATTTGCGGTGAATTAGCTCTTGTCGTTGGGCATAATTTGTAAACACTAATTTGATTCAGTGTCTAGGTCTTGAGAGATCCCAGATCCCAGCCCAATTAATGGTGATTATGTGTGTAAAGGCAGAAATATGCATAAAAGGGTTGAGTGAGACAGTTGATGACTTTTCTAACAGAAAAACATGTCCATGGCCAATATCATTGCAACATTTCTGAACGATGTTGTTTTATTGGGTTAAGAATGTTCAATCCTTTCGCCGCTCGTTACGCGGATAACAATGTTATTGGCTCATCTCAAAGAATGATATGCCTTCTGGCTAATTTGATTTACAAAAATCATGCTTAATTGACATATTTTTCGAGTGAGGGCTGGGCTCGACTAACACATGATGCCTGGAAGCCAAGTTTAAACGTAATTAAAAAGTGTACCCATGTTGTCGGGTACCTATTGCATTGCACAAATTATGAGATTCGGTAAATCCTACAAATTGTGAGCAACAAAACATGTACATAAGAGTTAGATCCACAAAACTGCAGGTCGTGAGTGTGTCTCATTTCACGACGAGTCGTCAGAGACATCGGCTATGTATCCATATATCCAATGATACTACGAAACGGGCTACGTGAGCACATCAATTGATGCGAAAGTGGTCAATCTTGATCTCATATTCATAACGCTATAGATTCTCAGTACGCACTCAACATTCAAATTTCGTATTGAAAGTTACGCAATTCCGTCGTCACTGTGTTATGTCATAAACAAAGAGTAACTGACTCGCGTTATTCAGGCACTATTTAGCAAACTAACCACCCATGCAGCATATTGTGGTGGTGTGTGCTCTGGTCAAGTAGATATTTAATGAGCAAACGTATATAGTATGAGAAGATATCTTAGGCGTGGTCCTGTAGTACATTATCTATCTTTCGGCATCACATCGACACATTTTTTTGCTTTAAAGGGTATTGTCTCTTGTATCATCAAAATGCAGCCAATTGATAAAAAGTGACTTAATTCGGTCAAATAAAAAATAACTCAGTTCAACACTGAGAAAACGACCCTGATTTTGGGGCTGACTCTCTTAAATACTTGAGCCTTCAATTTAAATAGGCAACAATACGTATGCAAACAATGATGGTATCAACTTTTACTAGAATCAGAGATTGGCCAAATTTCATCGACTAAATTTATCGAGTCATTCCAATGATTGGAGAAATTAGACAAAAGAACAGTGTTACGTTACTTGTCGAGTTATTACAAAACACTCAAGGAAGCCATAGTGCTTGGGAATTTAATCCACTCTATTTTTTAATTATGAAGCTTTCTACATTTTCGCCACTGTTCGAGAATGTGTGAACTACTCAATTGACTGAATTGCTTATGGTTTTATAATATGAACACATAAGCTAATTGTCTTACAAGCCAGACTCTTTATCATCCCAAATTTGAAGGTTGGCTATAAAATGATGAGCATATCCCATTCATGCAAATGACTATTTTGTCATTTTTTCCCTGATCGTTTGAAAAACTCGAGGCGACCTTGTCATTACACTGTTATTCAGCAATTAAAGTAGCTCATTGTACCAGTGTAACATTTCCTAATGCTGACAAGAGTCTGAAAAAGCGGGGGTGGGCGTTGGGTTTCTTTGTGATAAAACGTAAAGTATTTAAATTACGCTCGGATAATTGCGACTCGATAAAGAAAAACTATTCTCTGGTGAGAAATATTGTATTAATACATACGTAAATCACCACATCATGCCATGTGCGTAATTATACAGTAAATAGTTGGGTCATCGCGTATAATTGAAGTAATCAACCTCATTAGTATCAAAGACTAGATATTTACTTGGCCAGCACAAGAACAAAAATTTGCCAGACAATTGTCATCTTCAATCCTGATGATTATAGGAATCCAAGAAAATTAGTATTAACACGCTAACTACTTATCAACCAGGCGAGCAAAATTATTCTGCACAAAATTTGTACAAATTTCACCAATTTTTTTTTCAAATGGGACGGGACATCTTAATTTGTCTTGGACGAAATTCTCCAAACTGTCGCAACACGCGGAACAAAAAACTCTCAGTCCTTCTAATTCTGCTCATGAATGAAAAAGTCAACCCTTCGAGCAACAAGATGAAGAAGAAGATGCTCAAATTGCTCACTAGTTTACCTGTCCCCATGCATCAAGTTGTGCAATCCTTCTTCACTAACATGTACTCACAAATAAGGTGGCTGACTAAGTGTTGTATTAATTACCATTCAGATAAAATTCAAATCCACACGACAAAACTTCATGCTTCATGGACTCACGAGGATCTATTCTCCCCTGCCAATTGAATATTTAGCAAACGTGCTGGCTGCTAAATAAATGAATTGCTATCAACTCAAGAAATGCAGTCATGTAGGCAAACCTATAAATGTTATCGTAATTTTCTCAGCCCAACGACTATCAAATTCCTATTTGAGAATGCAGGTCAACTTTGTTTCCATTCAGGCAATAAACACAACACACTACAAATTTGGCACTTTACTCTCGTTTCCTGTTGTGGTGCAAACTAATCATCCAACAAGTTGCTCCATGTATTTATAGTTTTCGATATTTCTATAATTGCTCGCATTGATCTGATTCACAATAAAAAAAACATGTTTTATTGCTACCTGCACACGCATCGTACATATTTAAATTGCACATTTAGGTTCGAATTAAACTCAATCTGGGTTGATCAGAAATAATTCGTATTACTTGTAACGCTTTAATTCATGAGGAAAACCAAAATTAGGAAAAATATGTTTCACGCTCCGTCAAATCTATGCGTATTACAAAGAAATGTCGTAAAACTATGTTTTTCTCATTTCGTGACAGATTTTACATGTTGACAGAATAATTGCCAATAGCTTAATTGTTATATTATTGTGCGTAAGGTTGGATAAATGATGCAACCGTTTGTATGATATCGAGGAATGATAACTTCTCCTTGTGTTACGTAATGCATTAAATATGAGCATTATGGGAGTCAACTTATCATCTGGCTAAGATGACTTTCCTACATGTAACTTCAACTCTGTGTTGAAGTTTCTTGAGCCAAAATTATTATCTAATTATTCTTATGAACTATAACGAATGAATGTTGTGCGTTTTCAATAGTTGCAGTAAATTGGAGCTGTTGTGGTGATATTATTGTCATTGCACCGACAATACACACATTTTATTACTCACAATGCTTATATCCGTATCCGACGTAAAATTCCCAACAGTGACTCATTAATCGTTATCACTTGTCTAAATTCACTGTTCCTTATCGTATGATAGCTTGGAACAGCTTATACGCAATGCATATCTATCTATACGATGACTTCAGTCTTAACTTAACGTGATGAAGGTGATGTGAGTGAGTTGTGTTCATAATCTTTTTTTTTTCAAAGAATATAGTGACGCTCAACGTAGGTTAGTTCCGCTTCTGTAGTAATTTTAATAAAATGTGTACGATTGTGAGCGTTGCAAAATTGTATAATACTCGCCCATGTCTCGGTCATAACGTACCGCAATTTGAGGCTTTGCCAAACGTCTGAGTGAACTAAATTTTTAAAGTTTGAATACTGACAAACCCCATTCAACGTTTGAAACAATGATAAACTTGGCGAAAGTGATAATTCAGCGAGCATAAAGTGTGCTGTGTGTGAATCTATTTATGCGAATTTGAGCATGAAGAGCACTCCATAAAATAAAACAACACACCTACTGACACTTTGATAGTGCTCAGATGTACAACAGCCGTATGTACGTACAAGTGCATTCGAATGTGGTGGCATTACATGCACTGGTTACACCTCATGACATATGTATGAATACACACATGCAGTTGTGTACCCATAAGAAAAGAGCTTGTCTCTTATATTGTGTGAGTAAGCCAACCTGGCTTAAATAAGATATTAATTATTGCAACTTAAAAAACATCAATAATCCACGTGTACATATTGTCTTGTCTCATGGATGCTTGGTTTAGTTGTTCAAACTGGGCTCAGGAAGTAGGAAGTCTAATCATAGAAATAGCACTGAATGACCATTCCAATCTTATGGTGCAGGTGCAAAAATGATCAAAAAACCTACTGCCATAGTAAATATGTATGTGTAAGTGAGTTCAACCACGATTTTATGCATTAACAAGCAAAAAATTCCACTTTGTTGGGATTACATAAACAAGATTGGATTCATTTCTGCGCTCTTGTGTACAAAAATAAATACCTACCGAACTGAAAATTTTGGCGTTGGTACATCCTTCATAATAAGGTTGATGCATATGCACTAATTTGTATAAGAAGGCATGTTTACACATGAAACCTTCTGCTCTTTTTAGTAACATTCCTCAATTTGATCTCATTTTTTTATTGACCAATCCATGTCAGTATTTAGTGCACTTGTAACAATAAAAAAATGATTACCAAGTAAATTATTATTAGCCGCGTATTACTTATTTGTTATGGTCAGGATTCACCAGACCATGGATGATTGAGAGATATGCACTTGTCCCGTGTGCTAATTACATTATTGCGAATAACGCAATATTTGCTACAAATTTTATAATTTGATCTTATAATTTAAGCTAATTTGTGAATCAAATGCGTAATTTTGATTGAATAATAACAATTCATTTTTCTATCGGAATATGAATATCGTATGTTTACACATCGGAAACCGGAACCGGACTTACGGAAGATTCCTTAGCTTCATCCGACGATTTGACAGCTGCCGTGGAAGATGTGTCCTCAGGAACTGGAAGTGCAGTGCTGACCGCAATGACAAGAGCTAAGGATACGATACTTAAGTACTTCATTCTGAAATTGAGATTAATCAACATAAATTAATTGCAATTTGTTATTGTTACTTATTTTAATGAGAGTAAAGTGTGTGCTAATTTATGTTACCAATTAGTTATCCAAATCATTTAGTAATGAGAAGGATAATTTATCAAGACCTATGTCGAACTTGAGTGGACTACTTTGCCTCCATTAATAAAATCTGACCCAACCTTTACTAATACATGCATTTTCCCCATAAATCAAACAATTGCGTATGATGATTGCCAGTCAAAGATTAAGTTCTAATTTACCAGAAGAGTGATCATAACTTTGTTAAAGTTTGCATCATTCCAATCACTCACTCATTGTATAAGTAAATTGCCAAGTTTTTATCGTTTAAACAACTGCAGAGTGTGACCAAGGAATTTTTTAAGCAACAGGTTCAGTTACATTGTCCGTTAAGTGGTTTTTAAATAAGTTGTGTATTAAGTGGCACAAAAACTAATAGATTCAAGCTTTCCTATACATTTTTCTATACATGGCTTGATTGTCGTTTGAAAAATAGGAAAGAAAATTCATGGATAGTGAACAAGATAAGCGTGGCATAAAAAAAAACATTTGGCTGACGCACAATAATTCCGTCTGGATGTGGTCAATTTATATTTTACTGTAATTATAACAATCAACTAAATGATTTTCCTCAAATCTACACAAGCTAAAATAATAAGAATGGGGAAAATCCAGGTAGTTTATTCCTAAAGTAAGTCAAAAGCAAGGTACCTGCTACAAGGTAATTTTATCATCACTGCGATGATGATTGAGTCGAAATTTGAAAAGAACAATTCCAATTGTTATGTTTTTATCAGCAGAATGACTCTAAATCTCAAAATTTACGAATGAATTGCCAATAAGTTTTCCTGCATTACAAAGGTTGAAGAATTTTTTAACAATTAGAATTAAGCATTCTAATACATGTAATTGTTTGTTTTGTAAAGTCATCACAGGTTTGCACCTTCAAAAATAAATGTTTACGATTTTTTAAACCAGCTTGACTGGTGGGATGCAAGTTAAAAAAATCCGAAAACAAATGCAGGTCTTATTATGTATAAGTCCTTCAATCTTTATAGCGATAAAAAATTATGACCCAAATTTGCGCATCCTCAGTCGGTCAAATTGCAATTATTTAAAATTGGAATATGCATCATTTGAAACTCTTTCATGGGCCTTTACCTCTTGTAAAGTTCATAGGTAATCATTAGCAATAATTAAAAATTGAACTTTTTACAACTTCGCTGGTCTACGCGAACTTAATCTGGCAATTCTACACACGAGTGCTACGTGGACGATGCATGTACGTAAATAAATATATGCAATATTAATAATCACGACGTAATATTATGTGACTGCAGTGACTACTGAAGTCACACTTGATTATGCAATTCATCACATGCACCTGCGCGTAATATTCGCCAAATGATGCTTGCAAATATTTACTATTCTACCTTCCTTTTGTGAAGCATGTGGACTGTGCGATTTTTGCCATTGTGTGCAAATGCAGCGATTCTTGTACATATGCATAACTTTATTCTGTCCACTTCGACAATGCACATGTCTACGTGAATGTCTAAGTACTACTGCATAACTGCCTACATAAATATGTTGTACCTTATCGGTGCATGTTAAGTGTACATCAGCCTGTGTGCATATAATGATGGTTAGTTACACGAAAGTAAGAGGATGACTGATATGATTAAACTGGCCTATGAACTTCATTTACCTACATCAAACGCCACATAAATATGCCGATGACATAAAAATGGAAATTGGGTAAGGAACTCAATAACAATGAGAGAGCGTGCGTTAGGTTGGTGAATTCTTCTTCAAGAAATAACTACCTTTGAAGGCACCCCTTTTCAATTCGTGTCACAATAATATGTAGGTTTGAGCCTAAATATTTCACCAGTCTGGCCAATTATAAGTTTCGTTTCCCAATTAAATCCTCCTTCATTGGCGAGCTAAGTGCGGTTTAAAAATTGCAAAGTGATTTGCTCAAGCGTCGTTCGGGTATTGTACGTAAGGCACTCGTTACATCATCGTATTTGATAATTCGAATTTAATTACGGTTTGCCGGCTAGCCCAGAGACATTCTGGTTAATAATTATTTAACCATTTTTCTACAGAGCTACGTAATGGCTAGATAACAATTTACTTAATTCGGCATAGTTCCTGAAGGTTAGATTTCATTTCACTTTCGATCCAATTTAACATTAGAGATTGAATGAATGGTCAAATGTCAAGTTGGAGATGAATTTTCAATGTAAAGTGCACCACTATTTTTTCACCTAAAATGAGGCATCAGCGAGAGATAAAAAACGATATTTTGGGCTAAGGTAATGAGCTTTAATGGTCGAATTGAAATTGAGAGTGAGATGGACTGGTTTTTGCAGTCGATCCGGTTAACACAACTAAAAGTTACCAGCAGAACTACTACACAAGAAGTGCTTTAGATATCTGTAGTTGACAGGCTGCAATAGAAAGGGAAATTAATTGCGTGCAATTTTTTAGGTACTTGATGCAACAGGTTAAAAACTTGAAGAAGAATACTGACAGGACATATTCATATTTATTAATATTTCATAAAACGTTTATGAAATTATGAAAATTACAAATGATGAATATTAAAAAGGGACAATGTATTTATTTTTAAAGGGTTTTCCCTAATCTTTTGTAGTTTTTATAAGATAAGTTTATGAAAAAAGTCCCACTACACATTTCCGTACAAAACACCCCATAGCCTAAAAATCCATAGATGAGCATCGCAAGAAGTAAAAAAAGGCACCCATCAATAATGGTTATTCATGAACGTTTTAAATCTGGGTTGCATAATGCTGATTCGCAAACTTTGAACGTCCTTGGGACCGACAACGCTCATCTTCAGTATCGAAACTTGTTGATTGCTACCCCAGCCAACCAGTCACACAAGACGCATGAATAATGTCCAAGAAGTTGCACAAACTGTAAAACATTTCTCAATACTCGACATTTGCTTAGTTAGTCACCCTGATTGAGAGTATGGATCCTATTTACCAACTGGCACGTCGTACAATTACGACCGTTAGTCGTTCTAAGCAAATCAATCGTCCACTTAATTGATCACACAATTAATTTCTATGCTTTCACAAATAGAAAGAACTAAAATATTGTATGCAAACTTATCGTTGCCTTAATAAATGCACGCTGTCTCTCGTTCTCAAAATTTCGCTTGTCACATTCCCAATATTCGCTCACTTTAACTTTAGCAGATTACTTAAAAAATTAGAAAAACCTCTAAAAATGTGCTTACATGAATTTTTATAGAATTTGTTATCGTTTCCTTCCAATGAAATCCGATTAATCAATCCAACTTCCGGTATCAACACTGAACAAAAATCACGGACAATTTTTCATGAAAAAGCCAAACGGATGAAGAACAAAGACAACTCTATTGACGGCACCACTCGACAGACAAAAGTGAACTGAACGAAGGGCTTGCTCGCAGTTAGGAAGAAATGTGTGCAAAGGAAAGTAAAAGTTTGCAATGCAAAATCCTACGTGGCACGAAGTGGTGAAGGAAGGGGCATGAAGACGCCAACATAAGCAACATAAGCTCAACGCAATCGTCGTAATATCGGACAAGGAGTGATGCAGGTGATGATGAATGAGTCGCTACCTTGCAATACTTAAGGCTCCGCTCTGTGTCATAGGCTACACAGCGAAATAAATGACATGACCATTTTACCTGCGTATGCACATTTGAGCAAAGTTTTACTAAACGCAGCAAGTGATGCGATATGTGTATGTACATATTGCACTTGTGAGAACAGTAATTAGACTGAGTTCACCTGTGGGTGAGGGATCGGTAAGGTTTTTAACAATTGAAACGTTCAATTTATGAGTTTGTGCAAGATACATATTTTGTCAGATCCCAATAATAAATAATATGTATGCTGAGTTTGGGTTTTCTTTTGTGTTGGCTAATGCGTTTATGATGCCAACAACATCCGGTCCTCAATAACTTGTTAAATTTCTGAGTTTGAGTTTTTGACGGTGTCGAAGTATTTTTTGATGTCAATTTTAACAAGTTTAAATCAGAAAGATTTCCAAACCGTGGCATAATTTAAGTATTACATATGCTGACATAATCCTGATTTAACTTTATGAAAAAATGACGAAAAACTCGCAGCTCTTTGCAATTTCTGGTCGTAGTTTTGTGGTAATAAGTCAACAAATCGTAAAACTAATGAATTTTATAACTATACTTGAAGTGAGTTAGTTATGTGCTGTGCGAATGGAGCTAAACTCACGAGAAACCCTAGTCTCAGCACAAGGTACTTCAGGAGGCCGTAGGTTTAAGCTCCACCCGCACAGTACATAACTCGTTCACTTTATGTATAGAACAATAAGGAATTAAAATAGCTACATGTGCTTCATTTTTAATAACTTACGTGATTAGTTTATTGCAAAAAATATTTATTTTTCGCACACTTGGGCACACCACCTAAGGTATAATTAATAGTACTTCGATCCACTTTAACATGGAAGTATCCCTTCACGTTAGGTTGGATGTGTTATCGTGTTCCTTAATGTAAAACCAAGTGTGTTGGTTATCGAGGATAATCCAAGGCGTGCAATAATTATATCAGTTCCTGGATGTCAGAACAATTATTCTCGATTTCTTGTGAGAACGTTAACTGCAATTTATGTAGAAACGAATTTTTGCAGACGAAAATGCTGAAAAGTTTGGAAACCCCAAATGACGAGATCCGTTGACGCACGGCGAAACTCGTCTTCAGAAATAAAGACCAAACTGAGGTTCCAACTGCATTTAAACCATTTGCTACCATTTTTAAAGATTATGTACATGCAATTTCGAGATGTACCCTGAGCAAGAGAAGATGGGAGACTTGGCAAATATGACTTTATATTAGGTAGGAGAGAAAAAGTGGTGCAAAAAGCCGAGATTTGTCATGCCTTTCGTTCAATTAAATTTTACCCATGTCACCCTAGATAAATAGGAAAACAATGATAAATTCAATTTCCTGGAGGGATTTAAAATCTAAATTAGACCAATAAAATGTTTACATAATATGAGAACGTCTCTTATTTACAATAGTATACACAATTTTAATGCATTCCCCTATTCACTATCGATCTCATCGTCAGTTGAGTTGCTGTCCCTATTATTTATTAGGCAATTTTGAGATGAGAAATTGATGTAGATTTTCCTTACTTCAAAAATGCCCTAAAATTCTATATTATGATCATGTCGGCTGCTGAATACGCCAATGTAAATAATGTATGTGTAAGAAGTTTAAAGTTGTAGATCACGTAAAACATTAGTATGCTTATTAAGTAGCAGGATTTGCAACACTATGAATTTTTTGTGTCCCTACCACTTTGATTGCATCCATCTGAAAAGTCAATAAGTCACTACCTAGAATTATTACATATTCAGATAAAATTGAATCAGAGACGATATTATGCAACGTATCCCAAATTTGGGCTAAGGTTTACTTTTAAATGGCATCTTCACCCGCATAGCACATCTAAGAGATTACTTGATTAAGTGGATTTTCAAAGATAATACAGCCTTTGGTGTGTGTGGGGCCTTTTCTGAAAGTCATCGCATGACTTAATCTAGGTAACTCTGCATAGCCGTGTATTAGAGTCAAACCCCTTACGATACGAAATCAGGCTTAAATTTACTGATGCTCGTTTTAAGGAATTAAAGACACGCGAAGGGTGCATTTTTACACGTACGATAATGCAAGAGAACCCTTCAATTTCTCATTGTTGTATTCAATTTACCAATTTTTAATTTTGTACTTTTCGAGGTATGGGTTTATCCCGTTTTTATTTTCCCACAATATTATTTCAGCCTTACATATACTGCAAAGTTAGTGACTTTTATGTGCATTTGTGTATTCGTATCGTAATAAAAGGGAAGGAGAAGAAGATTACTTGAAGTAGACTAAGACAATTTCATTTGGGAAACAGTGGCAAGGTGAAATGTGATTATGATTGATTAGTTATTTATTTTCAGGATAGGTATCATCAGGGCTAAATTAATTTCCAATTTGTTCAAGTTCTTCAAACTTTTAATGAAATATGTAGATGAATTTCTTAATTTTGGTTTTTATTAATTCGAAATGCATCTTCAATTGGAGACAAAACATGTGCATTAGGACATAAGTAAGATCTCAAAAGAAGAGTGCACTAGAAATTCGTCTTATTATCAATCATTCCAAAACACTGATTTTTTGTGTACAAAAAGCTGTCTGTGTCAGAGGAATTATGATCATTATAAGTGCATATCTATTCGAATTTTCATTCTCGCCATTGCCTGCAAAAAACTAAACATTTTGTACTATTTTGTGTAGATTCCAAAGATGCGGCTTTTTTTCTATATGTTCATTGACCACAAAAAATGTCATCTAGTTACATAACGCAACAAAGATTTAATTTTCAAGTTTTTTCCTGCCTTGTAAAACAACTGCTCTTGCACTGCAACAGCGTTACAAGGTGTGCACCACCAATTGGATAAGACACTAGGTAGCTGTTATCACTAATTTGAATGAAATGAGAGCGTCACGAAACGCAATGATTTTTGACGATGCTTAGAATTGATATGCAAATTAAAATTCTGGTTCAACTTGCAGTGCAAGCAAACATTTTTGATACAAACATGCAAACACATAGAATCGCGTGCAACCCATAAACTAAATTTTATGTTTAAATATTTTACGAGCTCGGGATGTTATCTCTTGTAAAATGGTGTGATTGAGATTGTAATTTTATTGCTAAAAACGGCACTCGACGTAATAATGACCCCACACACTGCACCACAGATAAGTATATCTGAATCCTGATGACTATGTAAAGTAAAAGTGGAAATGGTCAGATAAAGTGGAAATAATTACAGAATCCTGAAATAATAATTACCAATAAGCATGCATTGATTTGTGATCATGTCGTTTCTTTTTTGTAATTTGAATTGAACTATAAAAAACGTCGCGTTTTATTTTAATGCATACGCGAATTTAGAAATTTCAATCTATATGTGAGGAAAATATTTGTAATTATATCAATAAAGACGTTTAACCGGATCTAAACTTATCGGTGGTATAATCTCATCCGTACTGTACAAACTCGTTTGATATTTATTGATCTACTATTTTTTTAGAGTCGAAAATACTTTGTAACGCCAATAACCCTTTTTTATTTTAAATCTGAAACACCTGCGACTCTTGAAAATAAAAAGTTTAGTAAAAGTTTCAAACATGTTTTCAGTAATAAGCTTCAAGTGTTTTTGTAATTTACAAATATTAATCGTTACGCGTTAATCCAATTATTATCTATTTACTTAAATTTACATAGGTTCGCACTGAAAACATTATGTATATACACCAATTATATAAATCAAAATGTCAAGCGGGTTAATTATCTTTGCTGAACTCATGTCTTGTGATTAATTGTTGTTGCACAGAGAGATGACCACCACTTAAACATAAAAGGTTTCTTTTTCTCCATCACGTTTTCAAGTTTTTTGTGCCAATTTTCTTTTCTGAATATTTCAAAGCTATCTATGCAGCCACAGAGAATTCCAATGAATGAGTGCTTTAACCTTTGAACTACATTGTTATTGTTATGAGCCAGTCACCGCATTCATCGCAATCTTTGAAATTTTTCTAAACAACCACCGGCAATGATCCCAGAGGATAATTGATAATGGGGGAAAAATTTGAGTGGGTGTCATGCAGGTCCGACAGGATGTACCATTTTAGAAGTTGTACTATAGAAAAAAATCGATGAACTTATCGAAAAAAGAAACGCTACGACTCACGAATATTGATTGAGGTACATACATCATCCCATAATCGCTTGGCTTTTTCCAAAGTTCATGTTCATTGTCAGACACACACGACAATGAAATGAAACTAATGAGTGTGAAAATCATAGATTGTTCATTTATTATGTAAAAACAAAATCGAAAGTTCAATTTTGGCGATCTGGTCAACTACATGAAAAGATGGAGGTGTTTGTACGTCTGGTGTGGTAGAGGTGGTCTCTTACCACAGATTTAAGTTGCAGGCCGCACTACTTTGTTGTACAGAAATTATTTACGATCCAGTATGTAAATGATTCAAGGTAGTTTTTGCTTCCTTCCTGAAATATCGAAAAGAAAGCGGCGGCGATGACGAACATTAATGAAGTTGTTGATCATATTAGTTGATCTTGATTGCCAATGATGGCTGCATAACAATGAACTTGCTTCACTTCCGGTCTCGATAACCTGATCGGTGGTCGGTTTGTATTTCATATTTTGAAGTTAAGTTATGCCATTAGTTGGAATTTACTCATGACAGTGATTTCTTTGAATCTATCTTCAACAGCATCCGTGTGGTCAGTCACTGGTTTCCGATACATAATTCCGGCATTTAAATTGCTAAGTTTAAATTTACTCTGCTAACCTATTTATTTTTTATGCCTTGTCCTCTTACCCTTGGAATATTCTTTCCGGTTTTCACGGTCTAATAAATTGCACGGTCAAAGAATAAAACCACATTTTGAAAAATAAATCATATGTGATTGACGCATTGCTTAATTTTCTCCACTTAAAATATAGTGCTAATTGTGTAATCGCGTAAAAAGAAAGTAAATCCAATCTTCCACTTACGATGCTCCTCTCACCCACATGCCTGCTGACATCCTGATGCGAATAATAAGAGAAACGCATAATTCTTGAAATCACCCAAAAACTTGGCAATCATAATCAAACTCAGTCAGGAATTTTTTCATTTATGTACATACATATATATTCTGCTTACTATGCGATGGTGTCAGGTGATACTCTCGGATTTCTATCAAGCCAATTTTACTTAATTTTATTACTGCAAAAAATAGGAAGAAATTAGTTTTACTTTTTCCAGAATCCGCAGGAGGAATTTTCTAGTTCTTCATGTTAATGACACTGATCTTTAAAGGCTATATTGTTTTTAATTTGAAAAATTTATGATCCCCAGGGTCTCAAATTACAGCCTTTCTTAATTTTGAAAAATGACAATCTTGATTTTAAAAATTTTGAAAATATAACCTCGGGGTAAGAGCGTTATTTTAGAAAACGCGAAAATATGGGTCATTTTACTTGTGTTTCTGAGAAAATCAAAGTATACCACTTGACACCATCGCTTTGCTAGTATCATGAAAAAGCATGACAGATAATGGTTTCTTTTCAAAGTCTCAAAGACCAATATTATTTGTAACTCAAGCATGAACAGAAGGGGAAGAAGTTCATCTCATTGTCTAATGAAGTATTTGTACAAAATATATGTACTACCGACCGACCTGCAAAACTACTTTCACGTCACATGACTTTTTATGTACTTCAATTTTGGAAATAGTGCCTCATAAAATAAACATGTTCAAAAACTATGTAAGGGAAGTAATTGTCTTTTATTTAGATATGTTCATACACAAGTTCAATGTTTGATGTGTGCAATTAAATTTTGTGACTTTGTGTAAATGAACATAGATTCTTTAATGAGACACTTTGTTCGAATTTTAGCCACCATTGTGAGACAGGATATTGATTAATTGTTGTTCTTGGCAATGAGTCCTGCATTTGATCCCTCCCATCCACCCATCTCACAAATGTATATCCTATTCTCTGAAGAGATCGAATGTCAAGGATGTGAAACTTTTTGTAAGTACTTAAATATGTAACTCCAACCACTACAAATAAAATTTTCTGTGATATTTTATAACTGCAATCTATGCACTCTTTACTTTTGAAGAGATTCTCCACTTTTTGACTGAATTAGACAAAAAATCATTCCTTAAACAATACAGTCTTTTTGCTAGATACGTATGCACACTCCTCTTTGTAAATAAATAAACGTAATATGCAGCCGATGTCATTATCATCTTCATGAAAATGCCACGTGATTTCACCCATAAGGTTCATGACCGTATTGTTGAAACCACTAATTGTTTTTGTTACATATTCTACAAAATATGACAAAATATGGCAACCAACAAATTTCTCAATTCATATTATAACCATTCAATTAGCCAAATAATTCCCTCGTGCTTTTCTCTTCTGCAAAAATATTCTAACCCAACAACAATTCAAAATATTCGATGCCGCATATTTATTTTGCATATTTATTTAACACGTGCCACGTTAGTCAACTATTTCTTGATAATAATTAGATGACAATTGCAGTCATTTACATTAGTGTGATGCGTATTCATCAAAATCGAATAAAGATTACTTCCTGCTCGTCAGTCATATTTTGAGAAGAGTTGACCGTAGTATTATTATTAGTGCGAATAATAATTATTTTTCATACAATAGTCGCATGTAGTACACGAACATACATCGATGCCAAGCATTTGTAACAATTGTTTCAATCACAAAATTTACGTCAATTCGCAGATAGTTCATTCATGTCATGTTCAATTAATAGTCAATTCTGACCATTTAAGCCCAAATCATTTTTGGCAATATGTTTCATCCATTCATTTTTATAAACAAGCATAAGTAATACACAATACCACCAAATTGTACCATTTTTTCTACTGATTCTTACGAAATGTCCGCCGTGCTTTACGTGGATGTTATTAGCAAAGGCAACAGCTTTGCTTATGTAGTTACTACTATTACGACTGCTCTACTACACACATTCGTCTGTCAGTGATAAGTGCGAATTTGTTGGATTTACCAATTTTTAGTTGCTGGCATAATGCTCGCAGTATTATCTAACTGCCCAACTCATTCCTGCCTGAGAAACATATTGCGAGCAATTTGAACTAAATAAGGAAATGTTGAGCATTAACATAATTAAGCACCGTATGAAATCAAAAACGAAAGCGGAAGATGCGAATCGAGATCACAAATTCACAAAAAGTGGTTCATTTCATCGCAAAGACGGCGTTGTTGGTTCTGTGGTTAATAATTCTGACTCGTCTGAAGATTCTCGGCCTAAGTCTGATTTATCATGACGATGAAATGACGACGGCCTTAAAATCTTGGCTTATGTATTTGTGAGCAGCAGAAATATTGCATCACGGCAATAGCAAATATGACTCATACATATGTACGAGTGAGTGAACAATTCATTCTCATTCAATACTCTATTCGTCTCATGTAGCAAGAGATTTTCACGATGATCAGTTCCAACGAAGTATCGACATTTTTTTTATAAAATTGATCAATTATTCCGAAAGAGCTAAAAGAAAATGCAATCATCTACAATTTCGAATTGATTAAATTAAAATCAATTTTTAATGTACTTCGTCCTAACTAATCCTAAGATAATTGCCTCGTTTTTTAACTTTGGAGAATCTGTTATAATTTTGCTCATCCCCAATTTAATAGAAAATCGATTTTCACTGTAGAATATGATTTTACGTGCGACAAGTTTTTTGCTTGTTACAGCATCTTCAATTTTCAACAAAAATTCAGAATAGAGTTCGAAACGTGTTCAATAATTTGAATGGTTTTTAATACTTTGCTGGTGTAACAATTAATAATAAATTACATATATATGATGACAAATTTAACGTAACATTGCCCAGATCTAAGATGCGAGTTAATTACATAATACGTAAGTACATATATAGCTGAGAATAAGTATACGGGTTATACGGCATACACAATATTATGGCACATTCGGGAAGTATATTGGAAAGAACGAGATTTCATATTTCAGATTCAGACGTAACTGTGGTTTACAGATCATTAATATCACTTGCAATTGAGGGTACACATATTTAAGGCTATATGTTTACATGTTCTGTTAAAGTATGTATTATAAGCACAATAGCACTGATAAACTTTGGTAACGGTTCGGTGTGAATGAGTAGAACGTCGGGTTGACAAATCGTACATAATTAATTAACATTAATTCGAATATGTATTATGGAAAAGACGGCACTTTTGCCAACTATGCGACATATCAGTAATTTGCTAAGAAAATTAATAGCTTGATGAAAATTTAACAAGAAACATTCACAATTTAACGAACAGGCATCATAAATTGATAACATCAGATTCCTGGTAATACATACTCGTCTACCTCACAAATAAATAATAGGAATGTAGTAAACGAAACATCGCAAATATCGATATCGGAGACATTAGAAAGAGAGGCGGAAGTATATGGCTAAACAACTAATAGTGTATTATTATGATTGAACATTATCGACATATGTCTGATATAGCTGCCATCCGTCGTTTTCCATATATAATCTACTAAATATTTGATACAAAGAACATGCGTCAAGAATTTAGCTAACGAACGCTATACATGAATCGAGGAAAGCTCAATATATATAAGTCTGGCATTTGTACAGTAATCATGAACATTTTCAATAAGTGGAGGTTTTGTATATCGATTATCGATTCAGCCTATGCACAAACCTGGAGCAGCATACATGTAAATGAACAGGCTGATGATAATATTAATAACGGTACGTATGGCACTTGGGTTGTGTTTTAATGAAGTTTTTTTTGGGATTTACTTTGATCGTCTGGCAAGCTCATATGAGTATGTCTTGTAGCTTGAAGGGTTTTTTTCTTCTTTGGCATGATAGAAAAGAAGTGTAGAGGCAATAATTCCATACAACTAAAAAAATTAGGAATACAATTATTATTCGTTTTGTCAAGAAACTAAATTCTAATATAAAAAGTACCTGCAAAAACACGAGGGTGACTATAGCACTTGCTAAATAATGCAGTTTTTCCATCATCACCAATTGAAGGCTTCCGAGACATCCCTGTCTATTCCATAGATTTGGATCTAGAACTTGACCACAGCCTGAAACAAAGTCATGTCATATATTATACTCTATTATTATGAAATTTACCACAATTTTATTTTATACCAGTTTATTACCAGTCATGTTTGCGCTTTCAATGCAACAGCTATCGGGCACCCATTTCTCGGCTGGCCATGCATCAATTTCAAACCAATCAGAGAATCCGTCCACCCCACAGCAACCAAACTGCAACATCATTATTGTCAATGGAATAATTCTTATAAATTGAAAACGTCCAATTTAAATTTGCAAAACCAATCGGCAATTACCATTTGATGCATAACTTCCCAGGTCCTTGCTACTTCGGTATTTGGGCGATATTCTTGCCGAATGTACTGCATCAGCTCTTCTCTCAAAGTTCGGCTCATCGGTTGGCGATACACAATTGCGAATACTGATACGAGAAATTGCAGAGATAATATCACGGCCACGCAGATCAAATACTGCAAACCATTACAAACACAATTATTACAATTTAACCAAACTTCTAACAACGAATGGAAAAACCATTGTCCAACTAACCGTCACGAGGAGGCATTTCCCATTAATACAGGCACCAAAACATCCCAGAAAACTGACAAATGACACCAGCGTTCCCAAACAAATGAGAACAATGCTCAATCCCTTGAATTCTCTGTTATTCGGAAGGATTGTCTCCTCCGTGGCGACGTTTTCCAAAACATCCAGGCTCGAACTTTCCACATGACTTGCAAAAAACAGCAGTAAACCAATCGCCAGCATTGCAACACCTGCCAGCTGCAAAAAAATAATTATTAAACTTTTGATATCTACAATTCCTACTAATTTTTTACACCACCACAACATTCAACTTACCAACGTGATGAGATTAAACGCCACCAGTGTAACTCGAACACAAGCAATTCCCCCCGTCGACTTGGTGGTGGAGGTGGACTTTGCCATTTTTCTAGCCCTAACCTTGGATAATAATACAACTACCTGGAAACTCCCCCAAGGAATAAATAGTTAATTAATTCCAGGCAATTTTAAGTAACAACAACAAACACTCCCCAATCTAACAAGCTACCAAGAACTGAACTATGGACGATATATTTCCTCGTATCATATGATTCGTGTGCTGCTGCTGGTCGCACCACTCACTCGCAGCTCATGCCAGCCGAGATTTTGATCTCACTTCTCACGTTGCCCAATGATCTCTTCTTCCCAGCAAACTTGCCACGACACGTCACAACTTCTCTCGTTTTAGGTAATAGGTAACTTATTAACATAGAGAAATCCTCTCTGAAGGCCCGATTTCCTCGTATCTCACTCACTCGTCCCGCAGTCGTATCGCTCTTTTTTAGTCGTAGTTAGTAGCTGATGGTGTGTTCGGGTATTACTTACTCACCTGCTGCTACTCCTGAGAGCTGCCTGTATCATCATCATAAATATTACTCGTTTTTTTGGACATCCAAAACTTTGATGTCCTGTCCTCGTCTTCTCCTGTAATGTTCAAGTGAATCCTGCGCACGTGACCCAGTTCTATCATCCTTGCAAACTTGTTAAGCCAAACAAGGGTCCTTATTAGTAATCCCCTCCATCAGAGTGTGTGGAAGTGGTGGAGGGACAAGTTGGCCTGGCGGTTGTTAAAAATACGCAACAAATATGGGCAAGAACACCGCGACGTTACGAGTCCTCAGCGATGCGCAATTGAGGCGATTAAAACAGCACAAATATTCCGCTACGAGCGTCAGCCTCCTCGACCCCGTCCTTCAATGTTGGTGGAACTGGCTGGTCACACAGGTTCCTGTCTGGCTGGCCCCCAATCTTATCACGTCCCTTGGTCTACTCGTCAACATTCTGAGTAGCGTGATCCTTATATATTACAGCCCTGACTGCAAACAACCGGTGAGTAGGTTTTGTTTCCTATGGGGGGCATGTATTTAGTAAAATTTTTTATTGTTAATGATGACTCATGGATTTTTTGTCTAAAATTCTTATTAGGTGCCTAGTTGGGCCTGCTATCTGTGCGCTCTGGGACTATTTATCTACCAAAGTTTGGATGCTATTGATGGAAAGCAGGCACGAAGGACGAATACGTCGTCACCGTTGGGGGAATTATTTGACCATGGTTGTGACTCTATATCGACGGGTGAGTAGTGGAGCAGATGTTGTAATAATGGAGATGAAATTTAAAAGACTTAATTACCCATTACATAAGTTTGACATCTGGTTTTGGAATTTTTTCTTTGTACAGTGTTCGTGTCGCTAGCGGTATGTGTGTCCTGTCAGTTGGGGACGGCACCAAACTTAATGTTTCTACAGTGCTTCAGTGCAATCACACTGTTCTATTGCGCCCATTGGCAAACATATGTTTCAGGTAAGGAAATTATAAAAACCATTGTGACGGGTTGTTTTATATATACGGTTATTAAAGTGTTGCGAAATTTAATGAATTAATGCTAAATTTCGAGTTGTAGAAATTATGAGATCAAATTGTATGATTTTTTTATCCATCTTCCAGAAGACATTTAATAGCTGTAAGCTTGGTTAACAAAATAAAACTGTACAGTTTAAAAAAATCACTGTTTCACAACACTTTAGTAATTAATGAGAGGATGGAACGAAGCCAAAAACTGTAACTACATAATGTTTTATGTGTAGGAACGTTGCGATTCGGATTAATTGACGTAACAGAGGCACAATTTGGAATTATACTAGTGCATATTGTATCAGGATATTTTGGTGTTGACTTTTGGACGAAATCGGTAATTATTATTAATGCACCGGATGTTGATGTTATGATATGTAATATGATGCAGAAGGAACAATGCAAACGTTGTATGTTTTGATTTAATTTGTTCAAACAGTTATTCGGTGACATTGCTGTGCCACGGTACAGTGTATACTTAGCCCTTGCCCTGTCAGGAGGACTACGTGCTCTGGTTTGGGACTTCAAAACCATATTGTATGGGGGTGCGGGGAAGAACGGCTCGTCAGTTGCTGTACGTTGACGACGGAAATTTTATCAAAAATAATACTTATTTTTTATGATAATAACAATACTAACGACGAATCGTAATTTTCCAGGGCACTAGTGTTCTTTCTCCAGCAATCCCATTTAGTCTTGTTCTCGTCCCTGCGATAATGATTGCAGGTAACAGCAAGGAAGATCTCTATGGGCATCATCCTGCTATATATATTCTCACCTTTGGCTTAATCGCGGCTAAAGTGACCAATCGTTTAGTTGTAAGTCTGAAATACCGCTATGTTACATACCAAGTTCAGATGTTGCTGGTTTTTTAACTGAGAAAATTTGTGTCCTTTATGCAGGTTGCGCATATGACAAAGAGCGAAATGGATTATTTAGATTCTGCATTATTAGGACCGTTTCTTCTCTTCATGAACCAATATTTTAATTATTTGGTTGGTGAAAAGTATCTACTTGTTTTTAGCCTGGTAAGTTGTGTGCTAGTAATTGAATTGTATTCTAATTAAAATTCTACAATATCCTAAGAATTTTGCTTGCATGATTGTAGATATGGGCCATATTCGACTTATGGAGATATTGCAGTAGAGTGTGCCAAGAAATATGTGACTCGTTGAATATTTATCTTTTCAAGATACCACAGACAACCGACATCCAAGGAAGATGAAATAAAATTTATATCGCAAACTTATCTCCTGTTTTTTGGTAATTTTATTACCCACAAAATTTGTTCTGAGGGATCTTTAACAAAGTTGATAAGATTAAACTTATATATGCGAAGAAATTCTCTTTTGATGTTTCATGTGATATACTCTTGAATGTTATTGTATTTTGTAAAACGATAAGTAAGGCCAACATGATGTTCACGAGTCAAAATTAAGTGGAAGCCGCCTGACATTTTATTTCTATAGCTTTAATGTAGGAAAGAAGAAAACAGAAGCGCGTTCTTAACATTGCTTGGTACATGGTAAAAGTCAAATGAATTTTTTCTCTGAAATCAATGCAACAACACGCGTGCAACTGATGGATGATGAAAGCTAGATTTATAATATATACATATATATAACATAATATAATACATGATGAAAAATAAAAAATAGAACAAGTTCCACCAAGAAAATACTTGCTTACTCACGAGTACTTATTTACTCATAGCCGAGAAGACAGTTTGATTGATGTCATATTATCATCCTAAATCATAATAATCATGCACATTTTCAGTGCTTTCCCTTTTATTACAGCCTGTCACACTACCGGTGGGAGTATTAGTATCATGTGATGTCCATAAATTAACGGTAAAACGCATAATGACAAACATTTCATCTCATTGTACTCTCCAGAGTTCGTAAGTATGTATTTAGCGTATCTAGTGATGTGACCGTACGTATGTATTTATGTCTCACTTTATTTGCACTGTGTGCAAATATCCATGTAATGCAGCTCTCATTTCAGGCCCGCATTAATCCAATCTGTCATCCGAGTTGAGCTCTACTACACCAACACACTGCTCCCACACTCTTATTTTATTAATGTTGCAACTGTATAAACAATTAGAAACAGCATGCATTCTATTAGCACCATTAATGGGAGAAGCCTTTTGGATGGCCGAGTATCATATAATACTCAGGGGACTAAAATAGCATGAAATTTCTCACTTACTTTTCTAACTCGCACATAAAATGTTGTTTCAGCGTGGAGTCAGACTGGGTTGGTGGGTGGGGACATTTTCGTCGTCGTCGTCGTGGTGGCCGTCTCCTTCTCGTCGTTTGGATGATGGAAGCTCGTCATCAACATCATGCAACCTTAAAAAGACCATTACGACCTGGCACTTGAATGGAATGTAGTAATAATGCTATAGAAGTAAGTAACACTGCAAAGAGGTCTCTCTCTCTTTCTGAGAGAGAGAGCTCTGCAAAACGGTTGCTGCTGCTGGCCCACTTTTCCTGAATCGATTTGCTGCCCAACCTTGGAGAGTTGGTTATATATGGATAGATGAATAGCGCTTTTGCAGTTTCTGGTCGTACATTGTATATTAGGAGAACACGACCAGTTTTGTACTTAGTGTGTGTTTGTGTCGTCGTCGTCGTGAGAATATGTTGGCGTATAACATAACCAAGTAAATACCACCACCACCACCAGGACCGGATGGATTTTATACATTGAACAGCCACAACTTTCCTCTTGGTTTGCATTCCATGAAAAATGTAGTAGATACACAAAGTTTCATGCTGGATGGATGGATGTGATGTGATGCAACGTTCATGAATGTGGTGGTTGTCGTCGTTGTCGTCTGATTAAAACTTTGTGCATTATTCTGTAACCTGCTTTACTACGTATTCTTCCTTCATCAAGCATTTGCATGAACACTTTTACTCCTCTCTACTATCCTATTCACTATTCGTGGTGGTATGGTGTAGTTTGTGGCTGGTAGAGTTTCCTCCTCGTCGCAAGTATGTAAGTAACAGGCAGCATGGAATCGTGGTCTCTGACTTGATATTTGGTCTGCACGGAATAAAATAGCTTGGGTTTGTCTACGAACAGCGACTTTCCCCATCACCATCATCATCATTTCCCCAACCAGACCTTAACCAGGCTCCAGCATAGGAAGAAGAAGAGAAAGAATGGGCCATGCAAGGATCTTCCTCCTCACCCAAGCAAATAGGTAGCAGCCACAGATTCAGTGTGGCCCCATACACCAGCACTTTTGCCATCACGAAATAACGTGGACTCGTGTACACTGCTATTAGGCACGGACGGACGGAGGGAGAAAGCTCACAAGAACAGACACACTGCTCTGCTGGGTTTTGGGCTGGGCTGGCAGGGTTGGACTCTCACTCGCTCGCTTTCTCTCTTCTTCCGCACTCACCACTCGTCCACTTTCTCCCTCTCTGGCAGTTTGGATTTGGGCTCCATCCAGCCACCACCACTCACAAACTACCAGCAGTGTAAGTCTCTAAAACACATAGTAGTCCTAGTCCATAGTCGTGTAGTGAAAGACGAGAAGTCGCAGTTTATTTTTGAGCTGTGTTGCTAGTTATTGCACCAAGTGTGGCACAAGGGGTATTGACAGGATCGATTTTATTTTCCCTATTTTTATTCCCTCCCTTCCTCTCGGAATAATTTCTGGGCTAAAATTAATTTTTTTTTGTGAAAATGGAGCGAAGTCAGGAAGTCCACTGTGGTGAGCAGATTTGATTTGAACTCCTCCTACTCAGATTTGACTTTTTGCACGCATTCTCATTGATTATCCGTGTCCCAGCAATGTTCTATTATTACTTGTAATAAATTGGAGTAGGAGGAAGGCTATTCAGCTGTGGAGTCTGGCTGATAAAACCTCTTTTCACAGAAGAGAAAGAGAGTAGGTAGCAGGGCTGTAGGTGTCATACAAATGTGGATGGATGCATTAAGGGGAAAGTCATAAATAATTAGACGGGTCGTTTTATGTGGCTCGGATTTGTAAAGGAAAAGAGGAAAGTCAAAATAATAAAACGTGATCAAATGTATCCCTCTAATAGATCAGACGATCAACGAATCTGATACCAAACAAACAAGCCATCCATGGCTGTGCTGCAGCAGTTTCTATCACGAAAAGTAACCAAACCAAGTCAATTTCACAACACTTGGACGAGGAGGAAGCTGCTGCCGTGTGCGTCATTTCATCACCACTTGCTGGTTCTTCTTCCATGTGGGTAAGTACTTATCACCAACCTGTATTTCCTACCTATATAAATACATCCGCAGACTTTATGCAAATAGAATATGCATGCAAGTATACACACGACGATATCTGTTAGCATTCGCATCTGCAGAGGGACACTTTATGCAAATCATGTTATGATTCAATAACCGCTTGGTTAAAATGTGGAAATAATAATTCCTTCTGAAATCGTAAGCTCCCTGTGGCGAAAATGTAGCAAAACAACAAAAGGAGAAAGGTTTCCTCAGTAGGCGTCGTATCGAGGAGTGAGTGTAAGTACTTTTGAGCAAAGAAGCTTATCTGATACTTGAGGAGTTTTATACGAGCCTGCACATATATTATTATTAGACCAGTCGACGAGTGTAGGTGGCAAGACTTGTTAGTTGGTCCTGCTTCTTATTCTCATTGGAATAGGAGCCAGCGTCTCATCTTTCAAACCACTCCGAGACGCTGAATTGGCAATACGGGTTGTTTCTTCGAGACCATCTCTCTGCTCCTGGTTGATAGTAATGATGCATGACTCATAGCACGGTTACATCATCTTCTGACCAAAATATTTGTCGTCTGTAATCCGAAATTCTGGAAATCACAGCAGTACAGTAAACATGTGTAGACTCGGTATCAGACTGAAAACACGTATGACAACAATTGCATTAGGAGCATCACATGAGTTTTTGAGGAAGATGAGCCTTTTTCATTATTACGAAATACGACATACTCTCTCCGGGTCGTTAGTCGTTCCTCATATTCTGACTGAGACTGCCTAAGCCAGCTTTCTCTTAGCAGCACAAGTAGCGGCGTAAGAATAAAAGTTAAGCGGATTAAATTAATGAAAGATCAAAGTAAATTCAAGTGCTTTGATGAAGTTTCAAAGGGAAAGTAATTATAATGGATGGATGGATGGTTCAAGTCGGCAGGCAAATCAGACTTTCTTCAAATCATTTCAAACTCACAGTGCTCACTCGTTCATTCAATCCGGGATCCAAGTTTTTAAGACTTGGCGACCACACTCCTTTCACTCCTCGTGTGTACCACCATGAATCCTTTTTTTGGTTCGTGGTTGCCGTAATGGTGGTGATGCTGGTATTCGACGTGGCATAACGACTTTCACTCACACACCACTACTTGCACATTTCTGAATCAATAATAACAGTGCGCAGCGTTAAAATAAATGGGAATTGGCTTCCATTATGCAATGATAGAATATTTTTGTGCTATATCGCGGAATGGATATCGAGCGAGTCTGACCACCACCCCATCAATTACTCTCTTATTAATTTTTACTTGGGTGCTGAATGTTAAAAACCGTGGTTTCTTCGAGCAAAGAAGGATTTCCTTCAAAGGTCTCTCTGGCTGCTTCAAGTCCAAGATTACGTGTTGGTTGATCCGATTTCATGTTATAAATTAAGCTTTACCAAAAAACACCGTGTCCCTAATCTCCCTACAAGGTTGAAAGAAGCGGATAAATGGAAAGTAGAAATTTGGGAATGTTATGTGTCGCTGCGTTTGATTAGAAATTTGAACAGTACAACTTTCGAAACTATGTATGTATGTACAAGTCTTCTTCATGAATAAGTATGCACGTTGGTGAAGTCGGGCTTAGATATTATGTTTATTCGAATCCACGAGTCGTAATGTCAGCAAGGAGGTGGTGGAAAAGCAATAAAGGTGGTATTTTACCAACAATTTGCAAAACTTATGATTCCCCCATGGCTAGGATTGGGTTGCTTGCGCTGGATATATTTTTTGCAATTTGGTCTTGCTCCATGACTTTGCAAAGGGCGTTTAGTTTGTGAGTCTGACTCGCGTTATTAAACTTTTCCAGTCCCAATTGTTATACCAAACCGACAAATCTCATCCTTTTGCTTGTGCTCCTTTTACTGAACAAAAGTTTTGAAAACTTTGCCAAGTTTGAGCGTGACGGAGAAAAACGAAAGTCATGTTCTAAGTTCACGAGGCAGGTCCACATGATCAAGCAGTGAGTTTATCATTATTTCTCAATATACATGCTTATGCAACAATACGTCCATATACTTACACGACAATGTATACGTGCATAGTTTGAATTTCTGCAAGAGACAGACTCATCAGTTCAAATAAGTTCTAGATAAACAGGCAAAGAAAACACAGCACACAAGTTTTTACATGTTTTCTTAACTTTTAATCATCCCAATTTTTTATATTCTCGTCCTTGGTACATGGCCTGGCGAAATGTAATTAACAGTAATTTAGTCAGATATGCGTCATTGCTTGTGCATTCGTATTCATATCGTATCAACCCACGCTGCTGCTGCTGGTGCTCATCACCAGTATCACCACTAAGCGTCCTGTAATTACACGACACCCCAGAGTTTCCATTCGAAATACTTTAATTCGAACGCATACTCTGTCTTTCCCGTTCCCTTTCTCAAACAAATATCTAAATGGAACGTTCTTGAGTCGTAAACGTTGTTGAGAGGAGATAGGATTGGCAATTGAGTGGTAGCATTCAATTCAAGAATCGTGGATGTAGTGGAAGAAAGCGAGAAGAGAGAAATGAGAGCTCTTGGCTGTTGTGTATTGATCTGATGCGCGAAATCCTATGCCAGGACATATCTTCTTCTTATTCTGCTTGCCTTAAGAGAAAAGGCTTCGCTCTCCAATGATTCTAGTTCTGTGTGCCATATTATGCCCTCCTTCCTGCCTTTTCATAGATATATCGCTGCCTTCATACGATGTGTCTGTTCTTCCACTTGGGGAATTCAATTTAGTTAAACTTTCTCTTTTCCTCCTCCTGCTACCTACATACCTTTCCTCCTTCGACAAATGCCAAAAAAATAACGTTGGGAGGCCTTTATACGTACGTATGTATGTATCATACGTTAGCTCAAAACCAATGACATATTTTCTAGTTAGGAGGAGGGACTCAGAACTTATCACCCACCGACTTTGCTGCCCTTTCGATATGTTGTACATGGTTGTATTATAAGTGAGTGTACTAAAAACCCCATGGCCTCATCTTCCCCCATTACACCTAGAAAAACACGAATAAGGCCCTATTTTTCCTTTATGAAAAATCCTATTTTCGTTTGATTTTGAATTTTTTGCATCACTGTAGTCCAAGATAATTGCTTTTTCATGTTCAGTATGTATTAAACTCAATTTTTGTAAATTTCTGTGTTTTCGGAGACAGTCAGAAAACTAAAAAATATTGAAAATTTATGAAAAATTGAGTTTGATATGGAATATAGTAAAACAACTATTTAGGAGTAGAATGGTGCAAGAATTTTAAAAATCTGAGACAAAATTGGATTTTTTAATGAATTTTTGAATCTTACGACTTTTTATTTTCGCCACTTTGAGTGGGTGTGGCGGGCTCAAGTGGGGTCAAACCACTTGGGGATTCGAGTAGACTCATCGGGTACTGCAGCATAGGGCACCAAAATCGTTTGGTGAAAAGTTCAGAGTCCTCTCCTCCAGGAAGGTCTTTCTCTCTCCCTTCATTTTGCATTCAAATCCCAGTCGTTCATTACTAAATAATATAGTTCGTTAGTTAATAGAGGAGAATGTACAAAAGCCACAACTTTGTTTTACCTTCTCCTCCCTGTATTGGCATCGGAGTTATATTGTAACTTTAGGTTAAACTCCCTCCACATTCGTTATTGAAATGTCAGCACGGATGATGATGATGATGCTGTTTGACGTTGAACATTGCATTGACGCATTTATTTGCTTAATATACAACATTGAGCAGAAGCCATTGGCAGGCAGCGGCAGCAACGGCGTCCAGGGTGATAATCTGCTAGGTGAAGGAAGCAAAGAAAGTGAGAGCACCGCCAGACGACCGACCTGCGTTTATATAAAAACTAATTTTATCATCCTTCGTCAAACGCGACATGATTGTAAAGCAAATTCATCAGCACTCACACAGCAAATTCTGCGAACATCGTCGTTGTTAATGCGTTATGTAAGTTACATGAAGTGATGAAAATTTTTGATTGAGTTGAGCAAACTATTTTGAGTCCATATTTGATAACATGCAATATTGAGGAATAAAATTTAATTCCCTTCACCAACATCGAAGAGTGGGCTGTAAGTGGATGGTGGATACATGTGGGTGTGGGTTGAGATTTTGAGATGATGAGGTTTGACTTGGAGTGGCAGTGATGATGGCGATGATGAGAGTGATGGTTGTATGGCTTGCCTTGCTTTTGTGCACAGTAGTGACTTTCACTTTGAATCATAACAGCCTTTCACTCGAAGCAGTCACTCGTTCCGAGTTAATTTTGGCTTGAAAAACCTGAAAAGTTCCAAATGTATAGATATATTTATTTATACATAAATATTTATATATAGATATTGCACACATCATATCACTTCAGTTCATCATAATTTATCCTTTTTTTCTTGACTTGACCCGAATCGCATGTAAAACCAGAGTTGCAAATAAAACGGGTGACGTATGTAAATATGTAAATGAATTAATCCGTGGCTGGCTTCTGATTTCTAGGGAAGCGGAGAGATGCACGAGAAGGATGACACTGCGAGGCGCAAACAATGAGTGAAAAGTTTCTGTGTCCACGATTAGCGGACTACTTGGTGATTGTGGGGAGCCGGAGTCCACATCACTCAGCAATCCAACCTCCAGAACTACTCCGACGATACCCACTAGACGATCACAAGGTAAGTAAAAAGAGTTTTGATTTTGGTTTCCCCATGCGAAATTCTCCTTCTATGAACTCTTCCCAAGAGACATCAGAAGTCACAAGCAGTACTTTCCTTTAATGTGCTCCATAAGTAATTGGCTCTCGACTATTAATAGGATTTCCCTCTGCCAATTGATGTGGTCTTCTTTTGTCAACCTGAAGGTAGGTGATGTCACGGTACATAAAACATGTTGAGAGCTTCCACGATTCTAAGAAATTTTCATGTTGAAGGCTGTGTTTCTGCCGGACCTAAACGACCTGCTCTGCGTGATGCTGTCTCCTTCGTCTTCACGTTGACAGATAAAGATTCAGGTGGGTGATTCTTGTACCTATTATTGGCACTTGGTTGTATAAGTAGAATATGTAGCTTGCATAAGTTGTGGAGTACAATAGAGCAGCAAATCGTTAGCAGAGTAGGTGGCTGGCTGGTGCAGAAAGAAGGTGCGCCACGAACGAAGGGATCAATTTTGTTTTGCGTCTGGATTTTGATTACAACAGAGGAAATGAATCCCATCATCATGCATCATGGTTGAATACTCAAACGTATAAATCATGGCATAATTGAGTTATGGGTTTTCGGGATTTGTGTAATATGCAACCCATTGTGGTAGGAGTACCTTCCTACCCGAACACATATCTACTTACTCAGCTGGGCTCACATGCCTTGCCACGACCTGGGAGTTGGTTGGGAGGGAAAAGCATTAAATTTGTCATTTTATCCGCTTTCACTTTCTCGCTTTCCCTCCCTCTCCCTCTCTCTGTGACACCAAAAGTGTATGTGTGGTAGACCATGAGCAAGAGAACTTTACATAATTCAGAGTTCATAGTCGTATCAATATCGTTACAACCACGACAAATGCGTATGAACTACCGGGTTTTGTCGTTCTATAGAATATGTCGTATTTGAGAGATAACAAATTTCTGATGTGATTCATATTCCCGTTTTTATTCCGATGGTGAAGCTTATTAAATTTCCTGGTCTGTCTGTAATCACACAGGGAAAACGAGATATGGGGTTTGCCTCAATTTCTACCGTCGAACGGAACGCACATCTCCTCCAGGAACGAGCAGGCGGAAGGACTCTGAAGGAAATCCAACAATCAGAAGGCAGTCGTGGAGAAAGTCTTTGGAGAAAAGCTCAGACTCTGCCTTCTCCAGGTGAGAGATAGCCTGAAAATCCCCGATGTAGCCTCTGGGGTATTTTGCACTATCATGTGCGCGTGGTGCACGATATATTTCAATTATAACCAGGCTTCTGTATCCTGTGACTAATTACCTGTTAGCCCAACAAGCCATGTTTTTACGATGAGCAGAGTCAGCAGGGCTTATGTATCTACATATGTAGCACGTAAATCATTCCTCCCTGTTTGTGCTGCATTATGAGCCGGGTGGCTTGCTAAAAATGCATTCAAGGATTTATAGGTCAAAGTTTTTTGCAGTAAAAATGTACGCTCATTTAAAATTATTACTCAAAAAGTTTCTGCTTAAGATGCTAATTGCACGAATCCCCTTAACGCCTAGATAATTAATTTTAATTTTCCCCACTAAAATGGTTAATGGCTGAAACGAACGTTAAAGTGCTCGCGGGCAGAGGAAGCTCTTTGCATAATGGGAAAATTTGATTAATTTTCAAAACTGATACATAGTGATCACCGAAGCGGAGTTGCTCCCAGCGATTCGGAACGTGAAGGTCCAAGTCGGAGAGATTCCGATGCCACCACCACGAGCAGCACCACCACGACCACTCAATTTCACCCCACCAACCCCTTTCTCACGGAGCCAGTCACACCCTCGCCTCGCCTGGGGGTGCCCTACGAGTCGGAGAGTGGAGGCTCCAAATCGCCCTCGCCTGCGCCGCCGAGGACGGCGACGAGGAGGAAGCAGCGGAGTAAAAACCACACCTTGACATCCCTCTGCCTCCTCTCCCATCATCCCTTCTTCTCCTCGTTTCGACAGTGCCTCACACTTCTGAAAAAATTAATCGATGCATGCAACGACAATACTGCACCTCAGAGGGTCGGAGCCTCCAAGCAAACGACACGGTGAGCAAGAGCGAGATAAATTTAATGGACTTTCTTATCATGAACTATGTATGCACGTATGTGTCAGGGTTAGAGATTCATGCCATGAAAGTGCACTAGTCGTATATCGTGGCAGTGATTAAAATGGAATGGATGCCGTAATGGCGGACATTATACCGAGTTGGTTGGTAGGAACAGCAGCAAATATCGAAAGCGCGCATGCATGCATGAATTCAGATAACTGTTGCTGTTGCTTGGATGTTGATGGCAAGAGTGAACCGTCGACATTGGTGGAAGCTCTAATGAAGCAATAAATAAGGAAAAGTGGGTTATTAACTTTCCAGGGACAGTTTATGGAGCGTTCTGACGGGGAGAAACACAGATCTCGGCTCCTCCATCGTGGCTCATGACGTACGAGAGATAGAAACATGGATCCTCCGCCTTCTGAGCTGTCCCGTTCCTGTCCCTGGTAGTACAAGAGTTGAGGTAAGATTGCGAAAAAAGAGAGGAGCAGAAAGAAAGTAAGCAGCAATCCCAGAGAAAGTAGTTTAACTTGACTCGGACCGTTTTATCACACACCAAGTCGGATAAAATCTCTATAAACACTGAAAAGCAAGCGACACTCGAACGTAACGCGCGCGTCTCTGTCACTTCATCTCTGAATGCTTTCTCTTCTTGAATTACAGTTGGAAGTCTTGCCACCTGAACTACATCCACCTTTAGTGTTCGCCTTGCCTGACAAAACTCGTTTCAGTTTAACAGACTTTCCATTACACCTGCCGTTAGAACTTCTTGGGGTGAGCTTTTTCAAACAATTTCTGCATACATGGATGCAATTAGTTAATGCACAGCAATAACGATAATACGAATTTACAACTATGTATGTGTCTTCTCAACCTTACACTGTCACGCATGACACAAATTCGTAGATAGCTACATGCATATTAGCATAAGTAATCGTGTTTTTTATTTCTTAGGTGGACTCTTGTCTCCAAGTCCTGACGCTCATTTTCCTCGAATGCAAAGTACACACAAATAACAAGTCTTTTTTATTGTCTCAACCTCAAACACAACATGTCTGAGTTTGATTCTCTCTCTTCTCTGGATGATGTTTTTTCTTCTTTTTTTCCTGACTTTGTTAGGTTGTGATACAATCCCGGGACTACAGCGCCCTTTCCATGTCCGTGCTCGCCCTAGTCACGATGCTCTACCCGTGCGAGTACATGTTCCCTGTAATTCCCCTCCTCCCGACCTGTATGAGTTGTGCCGAACAACTCCTGCTGGCACCGACGCCCTTCATTATCGGCATCCCGGCTAGCTTCTTGCCTTACAAAAAACATTTCCGGTAAAATTCAATTATTTTTCTGACGAGATTTTTGTTCTGTTTAATGAACCAGTTTCTTCCGCCGAGTTGCTCATGGAAAAAATATTACATGTACACATCTTGTTTGTTTGGTTTGTCAATTCCTTTTTCAATTATCTCGTCCTTGTGCAGACTTCCAGAAGATATTTGGCTCGTCGACCTGGACGCCAATAAAATATCCGGTCCCAAAAGCGTAGAGCGAGATAGCTGTGATTTCATCCCTGCTCTTCCTGAACCTGAATGTTCCGTTCTGAGAAATCACCTCAAGCAGGTAAGGTCGGCTTTTGTCTTCCACGTGAAATGACAAAGAGAAAACGTAATCCTCTCCTCTTTTTTTGTGTCTCATTTAATTACAAATTGTGAAAAACAAGAGTGTGTCCAAAAAAGTTGGACGAATCCTTTTCCTTTCAATTCTCTTTGCAAGTTTTCCCAGTGTGTTTCCTATTTCTTACGTGAACGTATATGTACCATGCCCTGGAATGATATGATACATTTCGTCATTTTCTTAACATTTTGTATCACAAGAATCCTTGCACTTACTTTTCTCTATTCTTCTCAACAAAACACCACCGTGTGGAGCACTCACAATCCACATCCTTCTCTCACACCACTACTTTCACCTACTTTCACCAAGCAATGTTTAACCTTAACCGACTCTTTTTTATAATTTAATCCTTCATAGAACTTAAAAAATAAAATTTTGGAAACAAAATAAACATTCAGTTACACAATAAGTCAAAATTCTGTAATGACTATTAATCCGTAAATGGATTCTGTACCTACTTAGACTGCATTCGTGTTTCTGTTGTCAATGTGTACCTAATTTGTGTGTTTCCTATTGTTTTCTCCCTCTGTCGTCAATTAGGCCATGGGGCGCATGGATTTGCAGGTCAGTTTTTCATCGCCTTCGACCACGCAGGAATTTGGTGTTAAGGACAGTGTTCGTAAAAAGACTTGTCTCTACTATTTCGATTAGATTTTGCCCATTTGCACCTTTAGCGTGTTCATTTTTATAAGCATATTAGAAAAGACTTTCAGATTTAGACATTTGTTAGCAATTTGTACTTACTTGCAATAATTATTAGGTGAGCAGATGCGGCAGTTTAACCACTTTTAAATATTTGAAATTAGTGCTGATTTCTCTCGCAGTAAATAATAGCGATGCTGTAATCTATTTTCTCACTTGTATTGTACACAGTTTTTAAATTGCACTGCATGGAATTAACCTCACCAAAAAAAATCGAAACAAAATAGCCACCTTTTAGTTTTCAAACCTTAAGCTTATAAGTAAATGCACAGCACATTTGTATTTGTGCCGTTCTTTCTTGGCCTCACTTTCTATCTACATGTTTGTAACTCGTATGTAACTCTAAGGCACATGTAATTGCTGTCCTGTTCTCTCTCTCTTTTCACTGCTCTCGTTTCAATGTGGAATGTTTGTTCAAGGTGTTTTTGCACACACACATACACGAAATGTGCTATGTGATGAAGGCTTTGCTTGGCTTTTCCAATGATGAACTAACTTTAACTGGATAAAGGCGGCTCGCAAATTGCATTGTTCTTCTGGGATTCCCACAGGCCCTGACAAGTATGGCATCTGCACCATTTCCAGAACTCACGTCTCACCCATCAAGTGACACTGATATTGACCGTAGCACTCAAGGGCACCCACAAAAGGCCACCCACACGGCCGCATCCAATATCACTAGTACCTCTTCTTCTTCGGTAATGGTTCCTTCTCCCTCAAAGGCAAAGCAGCAAGCAGCACAAAAAGAGCCCTTGCCACCCCTTCCTCTTCACCAAGGAGGAGGAGGACCGCAACCCCCTTTGAAGAGTCCTTCAAAAAAATCATCTCCTGGCGGCTCAAGTACCACACCCACAAATGTCAACGTGCCTCCTCATCCTCATACAAGTGGTCAACAACAACATCAACAGCAACCACGCCCCTCAAATGCATCCACATTCAACCCACTTATTTATGGGAATGATGTCGACTCTGTGGATGTCGCCACGCGAATCGCAATGGTACAATGTTCCTCCAACTATTAATTTAATGACTTCCTACACACACACACATGTGCCATACTTACAATTAGTGTATAAAACGGTATTGTGTTTTGCGTGTGTGCAGGTCCGATTCTTTAACTCTGCCAACATACTGGCCAATTTTAACGAGCACACGAGAACACTGAGGCTGTACCCGAGACCCGTTGTGGCATTCCAGATTACCAGTTTCCTTCGATCTCGTTCACACAATCCTTCCCAATTTCTATGCAGATTTGCTCGAACTCAGGTAAGTCATAAAATTCCAATGCGCGTTCCCCCTTTCAATCAGAGTTACATGTCACGTTATTTGGATGAATGTGTGACACAGGCTGTCGAGTACTTGGCAGAATGGAGTCTGGCTCCAACAAATTTGGCATTCCTACGTGTGCAAACGGGTGTTTACGACCCGACAATTATCGGGGACAAAGCCAAATGGTTTGCTCACACCCTTCAACCCATCACGTTCAATATTCATGTCGATGTACCAGGATTGTGTTCAGTGCTATCAGGCGCACATCAAGTTTCTGCAGTTCCCACAGGTGCAGTTCACCTTTTGTAGCAAGTTCATTTGCTAAGTTTTAGCTCATCTCATAAATTTCTTGTTTCCTGTCTGAATGTCACTGTCACATTTCTACTTTTTTTTCTATCCGCCACGACTTTTATAGATGAAAGTGGATCTGACTCAGAAGGGGCTGCCGATTCCGGGGATAGCACCTCAAGTTATTCCTCTCTTTCTGATTTCGTCTCTGAACTCGCATCCTCAGATCTTTCAGCTTCTCGAGGGATTGCTATTGCTGCACGAAGGAAATCACATCAAAAACACCAGCCAACTACAGCAGAAGAAGAGTACGAGGTGGAAGAAGATTATCCGTCGCAACCACAAAGACATGAAGTATTTAGCAGAAATATTACCCAGCTTTGCAGTAGCTTGGACTTGTCCACCGTATACAATCCACCATCGTCCCTTCTCTTGCCGGGTGTGCAAGATCCCAGCCAAGCACGAAAAGCATCCATCTCAGGGTTAGAACAACATTAATATTTTAATAGATGGATGTCTGTCTGTCGGCTTTTTACTGAAAAAATACGTTTCCTTCTCTATTTCCCAACAAATAGTTCTGGCAGCGGGACTGAATCGGAGTCCAGTGTGAGTTCTGGGGATGACACTCCAAACTCTAAAAGACGCGAATCTAGAGAAAGCAGGAAGAGCTCGGCTGGGACATCTTCCCAGCCGGAGGGAGGTGCAGGAGGGGTTGAAGATGACAATGTGCCTCGTCAACAGAAAGGTGGTTCACCTGCTGCGTCTACACCCGTGCCAAGCAAAGAACCAATTATGCGTCAGGGGAGTTTTGGTTCGGGATCAGGCTCAATTTTGGGACATATTGCGTCTCATGCGAAAGAGTTGGTGAAGGAAACAAAGAGACAAAGCAGCCAGGAAGGGCTGTTATCACAAGTCGACAAGGTAATAAATCGAAATTAACAGCAGTTTGTGTAGCACATTCAGAGTCGTACACACATGCATTATTCCTTTCACAAGAGTCTTTATTATTCACTTTGTTTTTGAATATACAGTTGAAAACTAAAACGAAGGAGAAACTCACTGAAGTGAAACACGGATCTTTGGGATCCTCTGGGGATGAATCTAGTTTCTTATCCCCGCTAGAACACGTACGCCTTTCTCCATTATATTTATCACCACCACCAGCAACCCCATGCATGCATGTTGTGTTGGAAAATAGATTTGGATTTCCAGGCAGATGATATGTAAGCGAAGTGAAGTAACGTGATATTAAAGTATTCATATTTGTAATTCAGCTCACGAGCCAAGCCAAGAGGAAGGCTGGAGAGGCTGGAAAATCGGTCCAGGCATCTTTGAGCAAAACATCTCTAGATGAATTTACTACGGCAGGAAAAAGTACGTGGGACGATATCACAAAATCTGCCAAAAAAGGATTACTCAAGGTTTGTAATCAATCATTATAAACTAACAGGACTTGCGAAATGAATATAATCAGAATAAAAATCATCATAATGAAAGGATTGTACATCTGCCAAGTCTCTGTTTCAAATTCCAAATAATTTACGACTTTTTTCATGTTTCCAGTCCTTGGGAGAATCTACAGAGTCCAAGGAACCACCAGAGCTGACAAGGAAACAATCTTTGGAGAGGAGAGATTCAACGTCTTCAACGTCTTCAATTGCTTCTCGAATGCTCGTACCACAAATAAAAGGGGATGTTGGACGAAATACGAGTCGAGACTTTTTTGCAAATATGAGCACAGAGCTCAATGGCTTGGCTACTCAGACTACATCCATGTTCTCTGACTTTTTTGGAGGTGAGTTACTAAATCCTTCGGTAAGATTGATGGTGGATGGTGTGAAGCATGCTTTGAATTTGAAAGTGGTAGTAGCACTTTGGATGAGCACTTAAACTTGAGGTGAATAAGTAACTAGCGTTAGTGTTGCATACACGTGCACGTTCTGAATTAGGTGAATTTTAAGTCTGATGGATGCTCGAGGGATATAAAAGAAACGAACCTTTATTTTTTCCTTGCAGGTGGACAACCTGGGGGACAACCGCAGAGAAGCAGTATATCTGCATGTCCCAGTCCCAATCGAGCTGGAAGTCCGGCCCCCTCATTGGCAGGAAGTACGAGCAGTTTACCCACGGCAGTTTTAAGCTCGAGTCAACGAGAAAGTACTGCAAATCAGCACCATGGCCCCTTTCCGACAGGAAGAAAAGGACTTGTGGAGCGTTCCTCTCTCATCAGACACACCACATCTCATCTTCACCCTAAAAAACCAAAGACTGACTTTAAAATGATTCAAAAATTATCTGGAAGTCAGGCTGCAACAAATAGCACAAGTGCAGAAAATCAAGCGTTTATGTATGAGGTACGAGAAAGGGTCCATAAATATGTCACTAATTTTGACAATTGCGCACACCTAAAGTAAATATTAATCTTCTACAGGTTGCCAATCAAGTGCTCAACGGGGAAGGCGTCGGATGGCTTAGAGTGGGCAGACTAAAGAAACTATTTGAAGACGAAGGTTACCGTGTTGTGGCAGTGGCCAAGATCAATAAAACGCTTGACAGAAAAATTGGGTATGCCAATTTTGTGTATTGTTTTTATAACGTCAAATGAGTGCTGAACTTTTGTATAATGTTTTAAAATCTGAAGTCTATCGAATAATTGATAGACAAAGTTTTTCCAATCTAGTCTTTCATTTCAATTTTGGTATCTCTACCTCTATTCCACAATATATTACACAATAAGCACTCTGGCTGACTGACATTTTTTAGCTTTCTCTTATTGATGACCATTTCCCTTTGTTTTTCAGACCAGACGATCATATCGATGATGTTGTAAGTTTCTGAGAATTTAAAACAAGATGCCAACTAATGGAAATAAATGACCATTATTTTTGTTACTTATTTTCAGTGCGTATCAAAACCTGTATGGAAAGGAATGATCAAATTACTTCAACTTCTAGTAGGGGGTTTGGAATTTAGTTATGCAAATCGTGGAATCGGTGGGATGGCCTCTGCTTTCCAGGTAAATCAAATTTCGCATACAAGTTTTAGACTTGCATTTGCAATTCATACAAATAAAATCCATTCTCTTCTCAACTTTGTGCAGATCTTGGAAATTGCCCACACGCACTACTGGACTAAAGACATTGCGGACATAGCTGCGGAAAGTGGTTCTCATTATTCACAATACTTGGACCCCAACGTTCTATCTCCAGGAGTTTTGTCTATGCAAGGTTCTCCAATTTCTTCAGAGCAGGCATCCCCAGAACCATCACGGAGACCATCGGCACAAGTTGCTGAACCCATGGGTACTAAATACTTATCTAAATACGTATAAACAAAGGCATTCGTACGCTTCGTTACTGTATTCATGCCCAATAATTCCGTTGTTAATTTTAGATCCCAATATTGAACAACATCATGGAGTTGGACCTGGGCCTAACACTACCGACGTCTTTCGAGATATTTTCCAGAGCAAGAAGCAGTCTTTAATGTCACGCCTAAGTTCATCCGAATGTCATGTAATTCAATAACATGAATATATTTTTACCCAGCCGAGGAGGTTAAATCACGATACAACTTTGTAAATGCGCAGATTGAAGGTGTTCAACATCCTGTAGCAACCGCTGGAAGTGGACCTCAACACTCTGGTAGTGTCGTGGTAAACCCAGTGATGAACCCCTCGTGGTCACAAATAGGTGCTGGCAGCCTAAGTAAGCCACGATTGACAAGCCGACTTTCTCAAATGTCGTTGAGATCAACCGTGTCAGATACGGAACTGGAGCAGGTATGTGTACCGAGGTCATGCTATTTTACACAAATGGATTCTCCTTGCTAACAGGAAGTTTTAATTTGGCCAGGGCTCTGGTCGAGGTAAAAGGAGTCCTAGTGTTTGGTCGAGTAAATCAGCACTAGCAGCTGGACTGCGGTATCATGCTGGTTCATTGATTCCAACCGGAAGTTCTCCCACCAGTCCTGAGAATGGCCGCATGTACTTATTTGAAGGATTAGTGCGAGAAAGATCAAGTCTATGGGATCAGATGCAATTTTGGGAAGACGCTTTTCTTGATGCTGTTGCTCAAGAACGGGAAATGGTAGGAATGGACCAAGGGCCGAGGGAGATGATGGAACGATATAAATCTCTGAGTGACAGTGAAAAAAAGAGATTGGAACACGAGGAAGACAGACTTTTAGCAACACAGCTCTACAATCTCGTATCATTCATGCTCATGATGGATCTGAACAGAGTGGAACTGAAGCAAAAAGTAAGAAGGCTCTTGGGCAAAAGGTAAGAAAATAATAAACTCGTACTACGTAGATTAGACGTTTAGCTTATTTGAGTTTATTAAGTTTGTAACAACAATACAAATAGACTATATAGTTCATTCTTAAAACAGCAACAAATTATCACTCTTCAACAGGCATATTAAATTGTGCTCCAGTTAGGTTAACATGGTCAATGTTCTTTTGAGGCATATTCTTATGTTTGAGGGCAGCGTTGAGCAGATCTTTCAATTCTTGGTTGTACTTTTAGACAAAGTACTTTGAGTCTCCAGTAGCAAGAACCTTCACAGCATCAAAATATAGTCTTGCAAACCATTTGAGCTGACACGCCACAATGAGTGAAACTCCGTAGACTCCAAGAGGGAATGCAAGGTCGGGACGCATCTCATGACCTTTGGCTCGTTCTGCTCTGGCTGATCCACACATTTCAACCCAACTTTCATTCTGGGGCTCGTCTGCATTGTCTCCTTGGTTTGCAATCTTTTCACATGCTCTGACTATGTCATCCCATAACTTACGAGCCACTTCTTTGATATCACCAAATTTAGTGAAACAAATACTGATATCCACCAACTTCCCATTCTTATCCACCCATGGGATGACATAGAGTTGATAGGTGCACCCGTATTTAACTAGAAAATCATGTCACATATTAAGTTAGAGTTTCATTTTATATATAGCAACAATGCAAAATACCTGTAATATATTCCGGCTGAAATAGCTTCATGTCGATCTTACGCTTTGATGGAGAGAGAAATACAAGTTTTCCAGTAGGTGTGACATGGCGAAGACTTGCATGTTTGTGAACATTGCGGTTCCTGCTGAACAACATGAGACACGTCGGGCAAGTATATTTGAGATCTGCAATATAAAAGATGTGAAATAAAGTTCAAGTCTTATATATATAATAATTAATAATAATTATAATTTACCAAAATGTTTGGAAATAACATGCCTTTTCATGTTAGCGTGATCTTTCCATGGTGTAAGTGGGCACTTTTTGCAGCAAAACAACTTTATCTTCAAATGTTTTGCAAGAACATGTCTCTTTGCATGGTCCATCCTAGCAAAAGTTGTTTTACAGGGTTGCAGAGGGCATTTTAATTTGACATTGGAGTTTTTCCGAGCCTTAGACTGTTTCTCTAAATTTGCCACTGCATTAATGTATTCCTGATTATCGGTGGGAGGAGGTAGTGTTACAAAATAATCATTGATGCTCATTTCAGAAACAACGTCGGTGGCATCCTTCGCATTTTTATACTAAAATTGCAGACAATCTTTTAAGCATATGTACATACTTTTATATTTCTATGCAATTTAACCTCATTCATAAATGTCTCCACATGTGCAATTCCAATCAATCTATAACCTCCTTTGATATTATCCATTCGTGTTTGTAGTTTTTTAACAGCAGAATCAACCTGATCCAGTTTCCAGTCTCTTAAATCCACCTGCTAAATTCATAATAATATTGTAAGTAGTGCCTGTCAATCATTTTGGTTGTAAACAAACCTCATCATCTATATTTTCATCTGGATCTTCCAAGTTATCATCATCGTCATCGTCAGTACTTTCACCAACGGAATTGTTATCATCATCGTCATCATGGTCACCAAACGCGCCTCTCAATTCCCTCTTTGCTGCAGCGGAACTCGTCCCACCTCCGATTTGCAAGGATCGGGTCACCCTTCGTGGTGTTGACTCTGTTTCGTAACCTAATTGTGCATGAAAATGAGATGATCATCAGTTTTGTTAACTTTCTCCAAAATCATGCAAAAACGGGCAACCAACCAGAAGAATTGAACTCTTTTGATGATGACAGCCTGGCTCGCTTTGTGGGGGTGTCATAATTGTCACTGCTATCATGATCAGTCTCATCGTCAGACCCACTTTCCCTTTTGATAAGTTTAGGTGGCATTATATTCTGTAGAGTTGATTATTAAATTAGTGATGATATGATGAATGATAATAACATAATCATACTTACAGTTTCCAAATTGATCAATACACGTAAACTGTCACCGGTTTACTAAAAACTAAAATTAGATTGGATTTGAACAATCCACGTAACAAACTAAAAGTAACACTACTCACTAAAACTAGACTAATTCTACGTAAGCTTGTATTGTCGGAAACTAAGCATATGAAACTATTATTATTATTATTCACCCTTTGAGTTTTTTTAAATTGAAGAAATCTACGCTCAGAACAAAACAAGTTGTAAAAGAGGAGGGAAGAGATTAGGAATATTCCTTGACTTTGATTTTGAACATACTGACCATCACCAAGTTGTATAACAAATTCGAGAGTCCATCAGTACGATACGCAGGTAGGAGGAGAGGCTGCATCTCTGTAATGCGAGCTCATTTGGTTACAATTCATTAAAATATTGGTCATTTCACTAAACATCTCATAATTTAGATCAATATGCCATATGTAATGCTCTGACTTAATCTTTGATTTGATTTTATAAAGTCACATGGGGCTTGTCTACAGCCAGGAAATTAACCAGTTGCTAGAACAAGTGAACCACTTGGTGAGTTTATCTGACTACCGTTCTTCCACTGCTTTTTTCCTCAGCTTTCGTAACTCTGTCACTTTTTTTGCAAATAATTGTTCTTCTTCTATTTTCCTAATTCAGAGAGGAAATGCCGTTGATTTGAAACCTGGTAAGAACGACAATTTTTATGTACCAACCCCCGTTAGTTAATACAATTTATTATTTAATTAGGAATAAATATTTAAATGTTGTAATGTTTTGCGGAGGAGGTAAGAACAAGAAGATGAGAATTTTATGTTTCATTTTACATGTTTAATTCAGCTGGCTCAAGATTGACACACCGACAAACATTCGCAGTTCACGCCGGAGCAGAACCAATTGGTGATCTCCTCTTCATGGAAGTCCGTGACGACGGTCTGGTTCTGAGGAATGTTGCTGGAGCCATCGTTGAACGGTATGTCAATGTCCAGGCATGCGGATCAGAGTTGTGAAGAGATGTTCCCAGTAAATATAGCATGCTCACCATGCATGAAAATCATTTATGATCAATTCCCCAGTTGAATAAATAGTATACAGTTTATTAACCAGTACATAAAGCGTAATACTTACGATCTATGTACGTATTAAGCATATCCTTTAATATTGCACAGATGGTGGTGGGAGAGGTTGGTGAACATGACGTACAGCCCGAAAACAAAAGTACTCTGCCTGTGGCGCCGAAATGGAGGTCAAACCCAACTGCACAAGTACCACTCCCGAAAATGTCGTCAGCTTTACCAAGCAATTAAGGAAGCCATGGAACGAGCCGCTGCCCGGGGAAATTCCCCCCTCCCAGGCACCGACCTTGGTGGGGAGTTTCCCGTCGAAGACATGAAAACTGGACAGGGTGGTCTTCTCCAAGTCTGCATGGAGGGTGTCGGACTATTATTCGCCAACAGCAAGGTCAGTTTGTTGATCATGCTAATATTTCCGTCGCCATCATGTTTTCAAAAATTTCGTCAAGTTTTATGTAAATTTTCAATCATCAAGTTTTCATGTTGTTCATGTCATGTCTTCCATCCATCCATTTATTCATCATCACGGACTTCATCAACCTTCGCACACAATGAGTTTACTCCTCCCTTTTTTTAGTACTCTTTAACCGTCACATTACTAATTATCTGTCAATGTTCCTATTCTTAATATACGTACGTATGTATGTACCAGCAAGAAAGCCTTTATTGTAGTTGTGAGTAGGACTTACAGTACATCCTCCACGGGCGACTTCACATTATGAACAGTCAGCCCGTAAGTTTTTGATAACGAGTACTTTCCAAGTCCGCGTCTTCGAAAGAAAAAAACCGTCTCATCATCTAGCTCTTGACATACGTGACGTACTTTGTGTACGAGGTTACACAGCGAATGAGTTTTATTTGACTCAACCACGCAGTTGGTTTCCCCGAATTAAAGACAATGAGGCAAGTTATGTAGGCCACAGTACAGTGTAAATGTCAGCCACGGAATGTGATAGCAAACTGTGATGACAGTTAGTTATTGGCGATGGTGTTGACGGAAAAGCCGACTAAAATAAACAGTAGCTCTTATGTGGGGCGGATCAATTTCAATTTTCTCGTTGAAATAGACAGGTGTACGTTCTAATGGATTAATACTCACGTCATCGAAAGCCATTGTGAAATGAAATGAAGGCAGCTCTCAACAGTCAGTTATTCAACAGCACAGTGTCATTCCAATGACCAATTGACTTTCTATTTTTGGCCACAGGCAGACAATAGCTACGTAGGTGACTTATGTGAATATGAGGTAACATATGCCTGCGTGTACCTTCATTTTCTCATTTTTAACTCATTTCGTCTCTTCTACAACGTACTAAACGGAGTGCACGAATGACACGTGCAATTTATTATTCATGCAATAAAAGACGTCAGAAAAGTTAAATTGAGTTACTTAAAATAGGTTACGCATTTAAGGAAACGACGTCAATGAAACGAAAGGCGTAGTAGTAAGTAAAGTATACTTTGGATTTCGCTTCAAACTTTTTTAAAAAATTGCAGAAACAAAAATATCGTGTCAACATATGACGAGAGCTAAAATAACACCTTGTTGTCTTTAATTGGTGGAGGTGGGCGGTTATGTTTGCGGTATATCGCGTGATTGGGTCAAGAAATTTATTTTGCTGTTCTAAAATGAAGGACCTATCTCAAACTTTCCTATTGCTGTTGTTTTCTTTTTATCTCTATATTTGTCTCTCTCTCTGTGTCTCTCTCTTTCTCTCTCTCTCTCTCTCTATTGGCGTATTTTTATACTTTTTTACTGTTTTACTGGCCATCAAGGAATGCCAACATGCTTTGTTCTCTCTCTTTTCTCTTCACATTTATCTTTCTATACCGTTTTACGTACTTTCCCTATTCTTTATTAAATATGTGTGTCAACTCGGTATGATATGCGCCGGCCTTGTCAGTTTACTTTATTCTTATTTTATTTGTCTTCTCCTTCACCACTCTGTTCGTACATATTACTCACATATTATTCCTTTAAATATATTACGCACTTTCTCTTTTTTAATTACCTTTCGTGTGTTATATTGTAAATTTCTTTGTTCATGGTTTGTATTTTTATTATAAATACTGAAATTGAAGCTTACGAGGAGATTAGTTGAAAAGTACTTAAAAAATCAAGTTTGGCTAAGGTCGCATTGACAAATAGATCATTTTGCTCCTTATTTCTTTACCTTAAATTCACAATCCAGTTTGATAAATGTGTAAATATGTTGGGAGCTTTAATACGTATTCATTCATTCATGCATGACTTTGTATTACCGTCATTGTTTTAATCTGTCTGAGCAGATAATGATATAATTTTGTAGTTTATTTGATTACCTTATTTATCTAGTGCTCCCAAATAACTTGTTTTCCACTTATTATTTAGTTTCTATTATTAAATTTACTTTTATCCCCGTGGGCGTTCGAGAATGTGGGAGAGTTATTTGTTTTGGCAATTTTGTACCGGGACTGAATCGACGCGAAAAGCCAGAGTCATTTTATAACTCGGAAACTATAAGTGATCCCTTCTGAATACATGGTACTTCATAATTCAAAGCCAAACTTTAAGTATTTTTGCAACTTTGCGCTCTGATAATTCTACATTTACGCAATAGTATTTTCTTGCTATGATCTTTGTCATTGCGAGCTTTTCCAAACTTTACAAAAATACTTAAATTCACACAGTTGATAGTAAGAAGCCGTGCATAGCAATATTTTTCAATGCATGGTTTTTGGGTCAGCAGTCTCGGATTCATTTACGATATGAGAACATAATATTCTTCAAGGTGTCATGCTTTCCTGTCATTCAAATTCTGATAAGTCTCCTCATCAACAGTTGACAGCTTGAACAGATTTACACTTTTCTGGCTTCTCATCTCTCATACTCTCTCTCTCCCAAATTAGTATTGCTAAGTCACGTACGATACTGGTAGGCCTTAGGTGAAAGTATTTGAGCCCCCTTCATACCCTTTAATTTCCCTAAAGAAACAATTGCTCGTCATGGTTTCGTATTACAGATTGGCAAAGTTTAAACAAATAAGGACTTGCAATGTAGAGGAAGATTTTACCAGCAGTTACAATTTTTTCTTAATATATAATTGTTTCCCAATTCATGACTCATTCTCAATTTGCCTCTCTTTACATAACTCTTTATCCGACATATTACGACTTCATTGGGGAATCTTGTTAGGATATACTCTGCATACTTGAATAGGTGTCTCTACTACTTACATACTTTGAAGTAGCGTACGAAGAAAATCATACCATTTCGTCATAGTAAGTACATACATATTAACATATAAGACAAATGCTTATACGAAAATGTACGAAACCAGTCTGACCTTTGATTTCATAACCTATGACGTACAATAGATGTCCACAAGATAATACTTACTATCTCCGAGTGTGTGAATGTCAAAAAATTAATTCTAACGTATGCATTAAACTGTTTGGGAGTCCTTTTTAACGCCTTTCTCCAATTTTATCTCTCTGTGTATGTAACAATCTTCCAACCCCAGGTTAACAATTACTCTGCCACTCTGCCCATACCATGTTTCATCAACTCCTCCCGGCTGTATTATGTAATTTGCAGTGCAGGTAACCAGTTAAGCTGCCAAGGAATGATGGTAATGACAGGAAAATGTATGGTGGACTCGTGCTTTTCAGTGGGAATCATTTAAATTACTGTGTGTTCTTTCTCTCTATTTCTCTATCTCTTTGTCTTTCCGACCTCTTTCTCTCAATTATTACCTCATTTAAATAACCTCGAAGTAACCTCGAGTGCCAAATGACGATGAGATGACGTAACAACAAATAGTTGCTATCCCGCAGTGAGTATTCAATTTAGTACCAGAGTTTTCTGTCTCCAAAATAACATACCTTTATATTTATGTATTTATCGTTCATCGTTCTTTCATTTGAATGTGGTAGTCGTAGCACTTTCACTCTCTTATTGTCAACTTTAAACTCGTTTCCCCTAAAATTCATCCCCACGCCGTGTTTCATAGCCTCAGTCAGTACGATGTATTCTGCACTGTTGCTATATAATTTTACTTCAATCACCATCAGTTATCATCCGTCATCTCTCTCTCTCTCTCTGTCTCCTTTTGTTTCAAATCTATGGTTGTTCTTAACCCTGTCATGCTGTGGTTGTTTGTAGTAACCCATGTTTCAAACTCGTGAGTAATAGGATTTTCATAATCTTGAACGTATTTTAATTTGTTAGTTAATTAATTAATTAATTTGTGAGTATGTAATTTCTAACTTCCTACACACCTCCTTCCGTATCTTGGTTTATTCCCTTTTATCTTTGGGTAACATACTTGAGCATTTGTGTCAGTGCATTAGTGAAGCTTATTCTCATCCATCGCTAAACGTACTTGTTTAGTAAATATATTCTGTAGGTTAATTTCATCAAGACCAATTTTAGAACAAGGTCATTGGAGGGTAATCGTATTGCATTTGCATACGAATAATAAATAAACACTGCGTCGAGGCTGGGTGTCATTAATTAACTTTCTCTTGACAATATCATTTCAAACTTTCATTACTTTCAATTTACCTTATTTGTTTTAATTGCATTCTATTATTACGTAGTCTTAGTTGTCTTAACATTATAATTATCAATATTATTATTAATTAACAGTCAATGATATGATGGACGGTCGTGTCTGTCAGGAATATTTGTCAAGGTTGTTAGATTCTGTAGCTATGTATATCCCACCAATCAATTAAACAACTAGGCGACTGTTGTGGTTTATTTTTAATTTGCGAGTAGAAACAGTGAAACTTAATCTTCAATTTCACTCATTCTTTGTTTCACCAGGAAGTTTGGAGATGGTCCTTCTGCATGAATTCTGAAATGTTTTTCATAACAATTTCAAATGTCTGTGATGCAAAAAAGAAAGAATAATCATGTGAAACGCAGGTGATAAATCAATGATGTAAAATTATTCAGAGAATTTTTTATACTGAATCAATCGACCATTTCAATCGACACACTCTTCCCGAGTAATGAGCGATTTAAGGTCTGTCAACATACTTTCATTCTCCTCTTATGTCTCACGAAAGGAGTGATTAAGAAAATAGTATAATATTTTACAATTGGAAAAGATACAAGTCCACTTAATTGCTTCTCTCCAAGTGCGATGTGTGGTAAGACGACGACGACGACAAGTGAACAGTGTGTGGTGTCAACATGCGTTGCTTGTAATGATTGGCTAACAGTATTCATCATGATCAAAATGAGCGATGTTGTTGTGTTGATGATGATTCTAGACCAAAAAGTACTAACGAAGGGCCTTTCTCTGTTTTATTCTTGTTTTTCGATCATCCATCCGGCTTTTCTTCGTGCTACGGTACCGATCCGATCGCGGATGGCTGGTGTTCCACCCCAATCCCATCCAATTACAGGATTTCGAGGTATTTAAGCCTCCCATATCAATTAAATTTTAACTAATCACTACATTAATACAACTTCACATCATTGTCCAGTAGTCAATATATTTGTAGCTCTATATATATAGTCAAGAGTAGACTAGTATTTGTACACCCACCCAACCACTCACCTACACGTGACCACTCATCCCTTCCCACAACACCACCCCACACACTCATCCGTAATAAACAAGAAACCCACCAATTACTTAGTTGTCGAGTTTGTGTGGAATTAGAGGGAGCTTGATTATCAGCACACACCCGACATACTTACGCCTTACTTACTTACGTAGGAGCAGAGATACACACATTTGAACTCACCACTCAGGTCAGGGACTTGTTTGCAGGTGTCGTTATTAATTGTTGGTAGCTGGTAATTAGTAAGAAGCAAAAAGTGATCCGTCCAACACAACACCATGCCACGGACAGCCACAATAAGCACTTACGACTACTTTCACTCCTCTCTCTCTCTCTTTCTCTCGCTGCTCCTTTAGTTACGTGTTAATTACTAGTTCGTGTTGTCATTGTCTGAACTCATCAAAGTAGTAGTTCGATGGGTGTAATCATTCATGTAGTAGTTTATAGTCGAGTCATCCTCTAATCATTATTACTCTCCCTTCTTATTTTGCATTACAAGCTCCTTTTCCTCACTACTCGTCCCCTTCTTCTTCTTCTCGTCAGGGTGTTTGTGTCACTTTCTCTCCAAAAGTGTCTGACTTTGCCTCATTTCCTTTGTATATGATCTCCAGTTATTTTCTAGGTTGATTTTTATACTATATGTCAAACACGTGTTTTTTGCAATCTTTTGTTTGCTCCATTTTTACAAGAAGTGTTAGTAGTTGTCCTTCATTATTGTGTTTTACTTGGATACACAGTTAACTACATAATGGATTTTAGATGGTATGGTCTTTGTTTTACTGTAGAGTAGAGGCGAACTGACCTTTAGAGCACACATCTTTATCTCTATTTAGTACTTTTGTAACAGGTTTTTTATTACGCACACTAAAAAAATACACACAACTAACAAATGACATTATTCTCGTAATCTCGACACACTCATGATGAAACCACATAACAGTGAGGACACCAATGCTTTCTATAATTGTAGTATGTACATATCTGACACATTAATTTCCTGCCATTGTGTTCTATCAGCGATGATGGGAATTATATATTAGGTCCAGCAACCACTTCCCCAGTACTCATCAGCATTATAGTAAATGCTTGCATAGAAAAATATATTTTGCCTGTTCCATCATTTAGTAAATAATACCCGAAAATTCATGCAAGTCACCAAGATACTTCAATGTCCAGGTGATTTTTGGTTATTCCACTATCTGTGATTTGCTCTCTGTCTCTGTCTCTCTCTGTCTATCTCTCTTTCAAGGTTTGGTGAAATACGTAATATTTTTGCATCACGAATGACCCGTTCAGTGATAAAGTCAATTTTTTGATACCTTTCCCAGTGTATCCCGAATGGAAATTGCTTTTATCATTGCATTGCAATTATGCAGAATCTGCAACCAACCACCACTAATTACTACAGTATTTAGTGTTTATAATATTACTGCAAGCATTTATTACCAATAAATATATGTATTTACAAGATGATTTTTCCGTCAAGATTTCCATAAATGAAAAATACTAAATAATTTCGTCCAGAACTTGTATTGACCCAGCCAACCAACCTACCAACCCAATGTATGAAGCATTTATATTGACTGTAGTATGCATTATTAAACCGAATTAATTATTAATACTCGAACCGCTCCGCAATGGAATAACATCAGAATTTGTGCTGATGGCCATCTCTTCTTACTCGTTAGCAGTGTTGTTAATCAGTTATTTATGGTTTTATTGACTTAGAATATTTAACCTCCTTAATTTGTCCGGCTGTAAGCAACTAGAAATTATCATTATTAAAGTTTTTGGACGTATCATAGATTTCCAAATTTTTGTGCCGATTTATTTCTACTTCGTTTTCTTTACGTTCTTATTAAACCTTTGAGTTTGATTCTTAGTTGAATTGTTTTATTGGTTTAATTCTACTGTGTTAAATTTCTCGCCACACCACCAGCCAGCCAGCCTATATGAGAACCTACCTTATAATTGACGCAAAAATGTGAAAAAGAATTTTGACATAGATTTAGCGAAAAAAAAGTCTGTCTCCGCCCGTTATTAGAGTAGCAAAGTATTTCCACTTTTTGGCCACCATTTATTCTCTCTCTCTCTCCTTCCGTCTAATCCGACCTACTCTGACCTGGAAAATTATTTGCACGACTCTTTTTACGTTACTGTTGACCGACTCCCATTATTGTCATCATCATCACGGTCCTATCTCTTATTTCTTATTTCTTCCTCCTCCTCTCCACCTCTTGTAACTTTACATTTTTTGATTGTAACCGTTTTTGCATCCTCGTGGTTGGCAATATTTCACTGACAGTGTGAAATGACGCTTGTGTGGCATGAGAATTACCTCCTGTCGTATTCTGATGGCTTACAACTTTGGGTAGAAATAAATTGCGAATCGCTTGCTTTTATCTGCTCTTGGCTTGTGCTGCGAGCAAAAACAAAGCTGCTATACTCCTGCATATTACTTACTTAAACTCCGTGTGTGCGTGCAATACTGCCTGCTGCTGCCTATTTCAAGTAAATGGACTTGCGAGAAAAACTGTGTTCTAAAAAGCGTAAATTGTAAATATGTGCTCTTGATGGCAAAGGTAGCAGCTCACCGTTTTATGCTGATAGTCAATAATAATAATAATAATAATACGACCACCTTGCGATGATGATGGTTTTTCTCACCTGACAGGAATTGCTGTCTTGTGATGACTACCTTTAGAATTTGAAACTGCTCAATTCATAACGTGAGAAGGTTTCGGCTCGTACGTAAATAAATATGTGGTAACGTAGTCGTGGAAGAACAAGCTGATACGGCTTAACCTCAACGTTGTTGTAGTTTTAGTGTTATGGCGTAGCAATATTTTACGCTGTAATGCTTTAAAATGAGTCAAGCCAGATGAAGATAGGTGTGCCTGCGTAGATTACTCTGTACCTCCCACCACCTACAAATCGTGTAGTAGTACTTTGTGCTTATGCCGTAGAGTGTAAAAGTAGTAGTTCAGTTATTTGCTACCCAGATGAAACTTGCAACATTTCCCTCATGACAGCTTCTTGACGTAGATTGAGTGTGAAACATTCACTAGATTGCTTTCTCTTCTATTACAACATCGTCTCTTCACCACTATCATCATCACTTGTCTAACATGGTGTTTTGTGATCAAAGATCTGAAGAATCAGCATTTCACGCCAAGAATGAACATTTGCTAATTCTCTCGTCCTTTCATTAGGCTACATACGAAAGTAATTTCATTACTGAGGAATTTTTGCCTTCTTGGACGCATTAAAACGATAGGAGATCAGTGTCACCTGTATTAATTTTATCTTTATACTAGCACAAAATACACATCTTTATTAGTACTATCTATACGACTGGGTGGTTGAATCATAGGTAACCTACGTAATAAATCTCCCATTGCCTAATCCTCACTAATTACTTAAGCCAACAACAATGCCGTAGTTATTTTAGTATTAGCCAGTGTTAGATCTGGAGAAACCAACATCATCATAGACCCCTTTAGCACATACACATTCACCAGTTGTTCACTTTCCGCTGTTTTTAGAGGTGGAAACTAATTTAATTTACGTTTCTCACATACAGTTCTTTGTTCGACTTGACCATATTCGGAAATGTTTCACACAGAAGGGAGGAATCTTTGTCCTTGAAGAATTCAGTACGTTTCGAGTTTTCATATAACCATAAAAAATTTGTAGATAAGTTTCTATGATGTCTTTTTGTATGCAATTCTACGCGAGGCATGCATTACTTTCATACATGATGATTCAAACTTTCTCAATTTGTCAGATCCCAAGACCAGACAAGTGATCCAGAGAAAGTACAAGTCCGCGTTGGTAAGTATTATGTATTTGAGAACACATTTTAGTATTTAGTAGAGTTGTGAATATTTAAATATTGTTGTCATTAGTTTACGCATCATTTGTGTGAATTTGTTTATTTATTTATTTAAAAATTGTGTACTATATTATTTGAAAAACCTTCAATAATTTCTTCACTTCACGTCAGAAACTTGACACTGTGTCGTATTTGTTTAGGCTGCAGAGGAAATTGCTTTACAGATTCATCGCATGTTTACAATCAATATGACACTTATCATGATTCAAAAACCAGATGGAGGAAATTACCCCACTCTTATTGTGTAGGACATCACCGCACTGTCCTCCATTATTATTTGTGTTCGTAATTTATTATTTATTTGATTTACTTCCTCTTACTCGCTACTTATTTATTTATGTATGCATTTTTTACAATTAAGCCGTCTACGTGTTGGCTTCTGCCTGAATTTTGTGATTTCTTAAGTGCATATAAAACTAACTCGCAACCGATTTTGAAATTGTACTCTGTTTTCGAACACAGGCCGAGAATATTTGCTACTCTGTGCTGTGCGTGTTTTCCTACGTGGCGGCGGGTCACGAGCAGAAGAAAGTGATTTCATCCAAGGGAGGTGCTGTCACACCCACGTCGACAGTTTCTGCTCCAGCGATGACCATGTCGTCAGAATCGTCCCCACTCCCGTCATCTTCTGCTGGGGTTGAACATTCAGTTTCACCACCGTAATCCTTACACGGCAGGATCAATTCAAGTAATTCATTTTACAACAAAATATGTATATACGAGAAACACATTTCACAAGAGAAAGTGTATTTAGAGGAGAACAATGTGCATGGTAATTGTCAAACTGAAAAATCCACCTGATAAATCTGTCTATACATTTCAAATTAATAGTCTGGGATTGAAAAAAAATTAAGGTTTTAAAATCCAAAATTACATTACACTATATCCTAATTATTTTGATTGTCACAAACAGGTTTAGAAGTCTAATGATTTAAATAAATTTCCAAGTAAACACGAAAATCTGGCAAGTCTTCACACGAAGATTATATATCAACTTATTGATATCAATATTAAATAGTACCGTACAATCATTACCTAGTACAAAATGACAAAATTGTTTGTGGTAATCAGCAGCCTACTGGCTTTAGTAGTAGGAGAAGGGCGTCAAAAATACACAATTCAATTACTTATGATAGATGTGAAATTCCTAAAAATCTCAATGTATAATGTATGTAAGAAGAGAGAATATTGCAGCGAATTAATTTCTACTGTTGCTGTCGTTATCTGAACAAGTGTGGTGGTGAGGGAATGAGGTCTATGTAATAGTTAAAAAATCAATGAACAAACAAAATCCACACAATATTGCCAAAGATTTTGGAGATTGAGTGGCGTATGTATTCAGCAGTTGTTATTGGGCGATAGATTTATAATTCATATATTTATTCTCAGGGCAAGAAGAAATAAATATGCAACCTGAGATATAAATACCTGTTATCTGAAGGTAATTTATAGGGCGTGACACACATTTGGTGCGAACCGTTGTCCCGTTTTTAATTATACTTGGTAATAATTAAAGAACCATATACTGTCATATTGCACACATACACCTTATCTGCGACTAAATAGTACCCGTATACTGCTGCCTACTTATGCATAAACTAGCCGAAACCAACAGCAAGCATACATAAATCTTGTTGATTATTTAACTTGAGTTGTGCAAACAATAAACGATAGCAATATTGAATGAGTAAAATATCAGTTTTAGTAAACGACATTTATTTTATTGCTATAATTAGCTAGAGAGATGATTAATATGGTACGTAAATTACTACTAAATACTAATAAAAGGTACTACGACAACTATTACTTATTGTGACTTCAGTGGCAGTTGAGCAGTTAATAATTAGTTTTAAAGATCAAATAATTATAAATATGTCGTTATGTATGCGTTGTTGATGTCGTTTTTATGGTATTGTAGTGAGTAGTTGATAAAATGCAAGGTTTTGTAATATTTTGGTTTAAATACGTATATATGTACTTGTTTCCGAGAATTTTATATGTGTATTACTTGCAAAATATATACTAATTGGAAGAGTTGTGTTTGACGGGTACAATATCAGATGGGATAAAACCAGTGATGTATGAATAATTATTGTTATGTCGCATATTGTTGGGAAGATACAAATATTAGAAAATTAAACTTACGGGTGCAAATTAAATCCACCTTAATAAAGAGAATGTTTAAATAAAAAGATTCAATTTGGTCGTCTCATTTTTTTCATGCAATTTTATGTCATCAACGGGCATTAATATATTACAAATTTGTGCGTGAAATTTATAGAATTTTAAGAATTTAGAATAACATTTTCTTCCATTTTGCTTTACATAATTCGCTTATGGATCGCTAGACGTTCTTAGTGAGTAGAAGCCTCGTGCCCTGAAAAGCAAGGTCATATTGTAACAAATCTCATTTATGCATGTAGAATCAAGCTTCTTACGTTGGTGGACAATTTTCGCCAAGTTGAACTACATCAGTTGGACAATTATCCAAACAAACTTGCAGGTCTACCCCTTTGAGTGGACTTATCAGTCCGGTTACTGCATCTGCGTTGATGCATTTACAGGACGGGAAATTTCTCGTAATGGATGCAGCATAAAGTTTTACAGCGAATTGATGACTGCATGAATTCAACGTTGGCACTGTGAAAAACAATTTCATGATTTTTATCATTGTTATAAATATTTAAGAGAGTTGTTCGCATACATCCTTGTAAAAAGTCGCAGCCTGGTTGATTAACTCCGCCATTTGGAAAGAAATCAACGTCTCCGTCCATGGCGACGTCTCCCAGCTCGCCCATGCAGGTATGAATGACATCGACAAAGTCTGCATTTCCCCTGTGAATCTTGGGGAATGGAAATCTGGGAAGGAGAAATAATGGTCCGGCTGGATCTAGCCCCGTAATTCGTGCCAATTTTTTCCCATTTGTTAAGCTCTGGTAATTGCGGCCCGTATTTCCAGAAACGTGCGCTCCTAAACTGTGCCCCACTAGGTGGACGGTGGATGGGTCCACGCCAAGGAATTTAATGAACTCGGCCGTACGGTTGGCAACGATTGGGATGTTTGTGGAGACAACTGTCTTGTAAATTTCAAATTGTTCGATAAGATTGTCAAAATGTACATTTCCGGAAAGAAGACCCCAATCAACCACGATGAAGTTGTAGTTCAATGGCGAGTTGAGGTAAGCTGAATGAATGAGAGTGGTAAAAAGACCATTAGTATTAGTATTTATAATGTAATTATCAATGCTATGCGTGACCAAATTATTTACCTGGAAGCACAACTCTGTCCAAATGAACTGTTCTGTTGTCAGTGAATCCATGGATAAGAAGTACCGTTTTTAGGGCAGAATTGTTAAAGGAAGAGTTAATCACACTCCTTCGATTATTGAAGACAAGTTCTTGCTCATATTGTGGATCTCTAAAAATAATTATTAAGTCAATTATTATCGTGTACGCTAAGTATAAAGAGGAATTAGAAATTATTATGAAATTACGCGTTTTTTGGGTATAGGTAGAATTTGATATCGTCTGGATTACTCGAGAGTGGATAATCTGGACTCAAAATAGCGTCCTCTTCCTCATTGAGGATCGGAAGATCAAATCCATGAGCAAGGCTGCACAAAATAGCAAATAAAATAAAATTTAAAAATCTCGAGGGAACATTATCTAGCCCCATTTTCGTCAGTTTTTAAAATTCTCTAAGAATTTTTCTCCCTTGTTTCAATAAACTGGATTCAGCCCACTACTACTCGATTGCAACTTCAAGCAAATGCCAACAATGCAAATTGTCTCACAGCAATTTATATGCAATCTCTCAAGTTCATTACCGAATTAATGTTATCAGTTATTTAAATTAAGAAATAACTACGAGTTGAAAGTCCAAGCGTAATAAATTATTTGCATGCATACAAAGTTGCTCACAAACATGCATCGGACAGCCCCGTGGAATTCATATCTCGCTTTTTGCATGATAATTATACCATATTTAATTAATATGCTATAATACATAATATGCTATCTGTAGTACCCAAAAGTATCGTCCGAATTGTGTTGACAGTTCTCATGTGGTTTATAATCCATATTTGGTGTTTTATTACATCATGTCCTAACCTATCCTAACATAAATAGCTGTTGACAGCGATGTGTCACTCACGGCTGTGTCATGTTAAGCGGTGCAGATTTTGATTCAAGATAAATTGCATTTTTAAGAATTCCCAGCATAAATTAATCGTACAAACGAGTATTATTTTGATAGGAAGGTTATATTATAATTTTTAGAATATAGGTAATTATTTATGTTGCAATAGTGCTGATTTGAGATTCAGATGATGTGTTTTCTGGAAAAATCAAAATTCCTTTGTTCTATTCTCATGCATGATAACGCATGTTGGGGTAGGACCATTTTGTTACCATGCAGGCAACTGCATGTTTTGCAAGTGTTGTTATTGTAGTCCAAGTTGGCCATGAACTTGTGCAGATCAATGTCATATTGTGAGTTTCATGGTACACAAAAGTCATCAATTTTAATTTGCCACAATATCATATTTTAATTTAAGTGCCAAGGTTATGGCGTCAATTGCTCTAAAATTTCCATGCGTTCATTTTCAGCGATTTTTATCAAGACTTTAATATTCATCCATTAGCTGACGCGTGTTCCAGTTTAAGCCGTTCCCCTGAGAATTCTATGAATATTTCTATTCATCTGAAAGTAGTCTAACTATTAACTTGCATTATATATGACAGAGTAATTTACTCCTCGCCCACATGGGAGGAAGTCAACGAAGAGTAATTAAAGTGACCATTGGTCAACAGGAAATAATATGATTCCCAAATGCTGACTGGCGTAAATGAGAGACTAATTGGAGAGAGTGAGAGAATGCACCCCACGCTACTGTACTTTGAAAGCATTTATTATATATTTCTCCCAACGAGGAATAAATAAATATGTACAAACTTCATATGGTGTAAATTCGGAGGAGGCAAAAGCAGCAGCAGGGTCAAGCAAATCTCGTTAATGGATTAACGGAATACCTCCAAAGACTAATGACTATTAGAGAAAGGGAAGCAGGGCCACTACATGGTCGCAGGAAGACCAAGACATTGTGAGAGGGTTGGTTAAAGGTGGTGGTGGTGGGTGGGGGAGTTTAGTTAGTTGGTTGGCAATAATAAATCCTTAAGTATTTTGAAAGCTCAGACTAATTTGTAGTTCCCAGTGGATCCCTATTGCAACCACAGGCAGGCTGAGTGAACGGAAACTTTCCAAATTATTTGCCATCTCACTCACCAACCGAACCAACTTTGCACAAAGCCAGGAAGAACACAACAGAAAAACATTTCTATTCCGGCTCCAGTTCCTCCTTTCTTTGGAAATAAATTGTAGATTCGTGTGGCAAGGAGGAAGCTATGTTTCAAACTATGTATTCACATCCCTGGGGTGTGAAGATGATGACGAGTCTGTCAGAAATTCAGGTAGAATTTCAAGGGCAGTAAAAAAAGTCTGAATGGTTTTTAAAAGAAAGAATGTAACAAGTGCCACATGCACTTATCACATCCATTAGTTGATAAGACTAGTGTTTAAAACTAACTTTTATTTGAATTACAACATCACTCAAGTATAATTTCGAATCGCTAAAAAAAAGTTGGTTATGGAATGAGTCAGTCAATCATTCGGATACATTTCATTGGTTTCTACTGTATTTAAGAAAAACGGGACTTGTGCTCATCGATAAGCCCAAATTTCCACCGTTGTTGGAAGAATAATCACGTCACTCAAGGCTTGTTTGTCGATGCGGAGAGTATAGTTGTCCATCATTATGGACATTTTGTATTCTTGTGGAGATGGATGGGTGGGAAAGCAATAAAGTAATTGAATATCATGTTTTCTCGTCCAGTCATTCCCCTTCTATTTGTATTCCTCCTTGTTAATGTGAACTGACAGAGCACAGTAGTGGGATAATTTCTTATCCACGGTTCATTACTCCAGTTCAAAACCTTTCAAATCTAGTTGTGCTCAAAATACAATATTTCTTGAATCTCTTCATCAGAAAAATAACCTTCTCCCTCGATGATGTAAAAAACCACAGATATTTCTGAATTAAATTACCTATTCGAAGTTCTGAGGCTGAACTACTTTAGTTAGAACATTTCGATTTTGCATTTTCATTGCGTATCGGCAGAGGCACAAAAGGTAGATGTTGGATTCATATCATTCAGATTATTCAAAATCCCTAACCACTTCAATAATAATTTCAGACGAATAATTAAGTATTTTTATGGTACCCTTTAATTCTAGGAACTAATTATTGAAACTGGATAGACGGATTTAGGCTTGCATGACCTCAAAGACCTCATACGACTATATTCAAAATTTGGAACCAGAATTTAAAAGCTATCCAGAGTTATTAAATAAACCGTCGCAAACGCGCATACGGAAGTAGCTTCAGACTACTTCACTCCAAGCACTCCCACGACATCGCGGGAACACTTGATTTTACTGTATTTCATCTATACATTCAATTTTTTCAAAAATCTCATTTTGCCCCGACCACACCCCCTAGTGACGAGGGGGTGTGGCACAACTCGGGAGCACTTTATTCTACTGTATTTCATCTATGCATTCAATTTTTTCAAAAATCTCATTTTGCCCCGACCACACCCCCTGGCGCCCGGGGGTGTGGCACAACGGGGGAACTCAAAATTTCACTCCATTTCATCCATAGATTCAATTGCACTAAAAATCTCATTATGCCCCGACCACACCCCCTGGCGACCAGGGGTGTGGTCCGGTTGCACCCAAAAGTTGATAGGATCCTCCCCCTGGGGTATTATGTATGATGGCGAAAACCGATTTCGATTATCTTTATCCGTTCTCCCGTTATCCTGCTGACAGACAGACGGACAGACAGACAGACAGACAGACAGACAGACAGACAGACAGACAAAGTCTTCACATAAAGTAGCTGAAGCTACTTAATAACGCAATTGTTCAAGCTTAAATCGTTCAGTTTCAGTATTTCTATAAACTAGAAAATAAGCTACATTAAATGGACCGATTTTTCGGTGATGGTCATCTCGATCGGACACAATAATACGTAAAAGTATATTCTGGTCTTCTGGCAAGCGTGCATGTACGCACGTTGATGGACACGAACAAAGGATGGAGGAATAATATTCGAATGTGCGAGTGGTGGATAAAGGAGAGAGAGCCAACTCTCTCTCTTCTCGTATGGAAGAGATTGGAAGAAAGTCTGGAGGTTCTTTATTCAGCTGAAAATAAGGGATATCCTATTCAATTAGATCATTATTCAAAGTCACATCTATTCAATGTAATCTCCCACCGTCGTCTCCCGTCTCTGCCTCTATCTTTCATAACCGAGAATTGTGGATGTGCTGGAGCTCTCCAACGCACTCTAGAATTTATGGCTATAATTTTGGACAATTCTAGCGTAAACTTTACCAGGGGATTCCAGGCTAGTCAGATAGCTCAAAAAATCGAAATCGGAAAAAAACAAAATTTGTGGAAATTATCGAACAAATTTTTAAATTGCTTTGCACATCCCAAATACAATTTTAATCTATATAATCATTTTTTTTACTTATTAAATATGATTTCTGTTTCACCTAAGAAAAATTGCGAAACTTTGTCAAGTTTTCGAAAATATGCGCAACTGGAATTTTTTAAACTATAATCTAGATTATTTTCTTAAATTTTTGAGTTATCAGGAATCCCCGGGTGAAGTTTACATAAGGATTGGCCAAAATTATATCCATAAATTCTACAGTGCAACGCTAGTTTTTGGGCCAGGCAGCAGCAGAACGAAGTCTATACATACATATGTATACACACGTTCGTCCTGCTTTCTCCGAGTCTCGTAATACATAAAATATAAGATGAAGGTTTCTGGATTTGAGAGAAATTTCTAAAGTACGTTACTTCCGGCTTATTGTTACCCTGAAATAACTTCCTCCCGGGAATTATTTTACTTTGGTTTAAAAGGGTGTGATTTCATTGTGATATCCTTGTTTGGAACATTGCATTCATAAATTGACCATTCTAGTTTAGCACGAGGACATAGTTCACAGAGTTTAAACCAGTAATTTAGGGCTGCAGATTATTATTCTGATAATTATGATACATTCACAACAAAAGGGGAGAACAGCTTGAGACATTGTTACTTTTTGTATAACGACCAGTTCATATTATTTATTGAGCTGTTTATGAAATATGAATTATTATTAGCATAATTAGTATTTATGTAATATCCATTTATAAATACAAGGTTACTTGCAATTATGTGCTTTTAAATGCATTTAGGTATCGCAGTCTGTTGCAGCATTCTCATATTTGTGCATGCATGTGCATATCGATATCCGTTTCACACCTCACCCTCCATGTTACGGATGCATTATTCGTCTTACTCCTCGCAGCCTTGTCAAGACCGTTCACTGCTACGTACGTTCTGACAAAGGAAAATTCCCCAAAACTCGGCTCTCCCAAATCCAGCCAAGTACCCGTCCATCCATCTTCGAGATCTTCTTAGTTTTCTCTTCATCTTCAAAATACATTCGATCCAATCCAGTCATCATCTATCCATCCTTCCATCTCTCATAATATGCCAACCACTCCAACCCATCCACTCCATTTTCCTCATATTATTGAAATATTACAGTCAGGATTTACACGTTTGTCTTCACACAGACAAAAAAAACTTTGAGATGGATTGCACGGGAAGAGAATAAAAGAGCAAATTAAATAAATTGCTAGAACCAAGCACA